ATGGTGGTGGTGATGGTGATGGTGGTGGTGATGGTGATGGTGGTGGTGATGATGGTGGTGATGATGGTGGTGATGATGGTGGTGGTGGTGGTGGTGGTGGTGGTGATGATGGTGGTGATGATGGTGGTGATGATGTGGTGATGATGGTGGTGGTGATGGTGGTGGTGGTGATGGTGGTGGTGATGATGTGGTGATGATGGTGGTGGTGGTGGTGGTGATGGTGGTGATGATGGTGGTGATGATGTGGTGATGATGGTGGTGGTGGTGATGGTGGTGGTGATGGTGGTGATGGTGGTGATGATGGTGGTGGTGGTGGTGATGATGGTGGTGATGATGGTGGTGATGATGGTGGTGGTGGTGGTGGTGGTGGTGGTGATGATGGTGGTGATGATGGTGGTGGTGGTGGTGATGATGGTGGTGATGATGGTGGTGATGGTGATGGTGGTGATGGTGATGGTGGTGGTGGTGGTGATGATGGTGGTGATGATGGTGGTGATGATGGTGGTGATGGTGATGGTGGTGACGGTGGTGATGGTGGTGGTGATGATGGTGGTGATGATGGTGGTGATGATGGTGGTGGTGGTGGTGGTGGTGGTGATGATGGTGGTGATGATGGTGGTGATGGTGGTGGTGATGGTGATGGTGGTGATGGTGATGGTGGTGATGATGGTGGTGATGATGGTGGTGGTGGTGGTGGTGGTGATGATGGTGGTGATGATGGTGGTGGTGGTGGTGGTGGTGGTGATGGTGGTGGTGATGATGTGGTGATGATGGTGGTGGTGATGGTGGTGGTGGTGATGATGGTGGTGATGATGGTGGTGGTGATGGTGGTGGTGGTGATGGTGGTGGTGGTGGTGGTGGTGGTGGTGATGATGGTGGTGATGATGTGGTGATGATGGTGGTGGTGGTGATGATGGTGGTGATGATGGTGGTGATGATGGTGGTGGTGATGGTGGTGGTGGTGATGATGGTGGTGATGATGGTGGTGATGATGGTGGTGGTGGTGGTGGTGGTGGTGGTGATGATGGTGGTGGTGGTGGTGATGATGGTGGTGATGATGGTGGTGATGATGGTGGTGATGATGGTGGTGATGGTGATGGTGGTGACGGTGGTGATGATGGTGGTGATGGTCTCACTTACAGAACACTACCTATGTCCCAGGCACCACTCTACTTAACAACATTAACTTTTTTATGCCCCAGAACAACCTCACAAGGCAGAGACAGCTGTCACCCTCACTCACAGAGGGTCCACGTGGTGCCCAAGGTCCCACAGTGACAGGGCAGTGACAGAGCAGAGCAGCCAGCACCTACAGGCTGCCAGGGCCACCGTGAGCTGGGACGGCGCCCAGCCACACCCTGCCTGGCGTGCCGTGGGCCAGCACTGCCAGGGACTCCCCCTCGCTCCTCACAGGACTCCCGTGAGGAGCTACACTCTTCCCATCTCCCAGGCGAGGACACTGAGACCCAGAGGGAGTCGATGACCACATGGTTGACAAGTGTCCTGTTTGCTAAACTCTAAACCCCAGTGCTTATAGCTGGTTTGGGGCCACGCGGGGCCAGGGCTCATTGTCAGCTCTCAGGGGGCAGAGGGAAGAGGGCGTGCGCCACGCACAGCCAGCACGCAGCAGGGCCCCTGCTTTGTGGCCCCTTCTGCCGGCCCCTGCCCAGGCAGCTGCACGCATGGGCCATGGAGCCACATCGCAGGGGACAACCTGTTTTCTTCTTCCCTTTGAGGGGATCTCTGGTCACTTCTTGATGTTCCAGAAAGCTAATCCTTATTTCCCCAGCCTCTTCCAACCATTGAAGAACCAAAAAAGAAGCAACTGTATTCTTTTCCTGACCCACATGTTTGCCCCCAGAGCTGCACGCCCGGGTCTGGCCAGCAGTGAGGTCAGGCGCTCACAGAACCTCCGCTGGAAGCCGGCAGCTGCCCTGTGCCTCTCACGCTCCTCAGTGCTCTCAGCTGTGAGGGGTACGCTCTGCAGCCCGGGCCTCCCCCCGCCTGTCTGTGTCTGCGATCCCAAGTCCGCCCCTGTTTGAATTTGAGCCTTCCCTCAAAAAGGAGCTTGTATGAATTGCAGTGTCCACCTGTCCTGGGAAGAACATGTCTGCCTGTCTCATAAACTTCATCTGTCTGGGTAGTGAAGGGTTAACTTACCCTCACAAAAACCAAACAGTCATATTTAAAAATGGACAAAGGACCTGAGTCGACATTTTTCCATCGAAGACAGACGCATGGCCAAGAGGCACGGGAAAAGGTGCTCAGCATCACTAATCATCGGGGAAATGCTGAGAGAGCGGCACGTCACACCTGTCAGAACAAGTGTCATGAAAAAGACAGAAGATGGCGAGTGCTGGTGGTAACAAGGAGAAAGCGAGCCCTCGCGCACTGTTGATGGGAATGTGACCTGCCGCAGCCACTGTGGAAACTGCATGGAGGTTCCCCCTAAATTAAAATAGAACTGCCCTATGATTCAACAATTTCACGTCTAGGTATTTATCCAACGGAAACAAGAACACTAACCTGAAAAGATAACTGCGCCCCCGTGTTCACTGCAGCGCTGTTTGTGGCAGCCAAGACACGGAAACACCCTCAGTGTCCATCGGTGGGTCAACGGATAAAGAAAATGTCTCACACACACACAGAGAACATATTACTCAGCCATAAAAAGGACGGAAATCCAGCCACCGGTGACAACGCAGATGAGTCTTGAGGGCATGGCCCCCGGTGAGATGTCAGACCGAGAGACAGGCACCGTATGCCCTCACTTACAGTGGGGGCATCTGACAACGAGCCAACAGACGAGCCAAACTCGTGGGAAACGGAGATCAGATCTGCGGTTAGCAGAGGTGTGGGGGGCGGGGGGAGGTTTGGATGAAGGTGGTGGAAAGGCGCAACCTTTCAGTTATAAGATGAAGCGCTGGGGTGTCGGGAACGCCATGACTGCTGGTAACGCCGCCGTGCGGTGTGCTTGAAAGGTGCTGGGAGTGGGTCCTAACAGTGCTCATCACAAGGAAAAACACGTATTTTTCTTCTCCTTTTTTTCTTGTGTCCATACGAGATAATGGATGTTAATTAAGCTTGTGGTAATCCTTTTACAATATATGTAAGTCAAATATTATGCTACATATACATTTTAAATGTATACAGTGCTGTATATAATTATATCTCAATATAACTGGAGAAAAAAGAGAAATGTCTATTTTTTTTTGAAAGAGAATTGACCTACCCAAAGATGTCTGACCTTTGTCCCCTCTCTGAGATGATAACCTCTAATTTATGCTAATGAGGCAACTCAAGGCTGGAGGGGTCGGGGAATGCGGTCAGCCACGCCATTATGCCACTGCGGTGTCAGCCCCACCTCTAGGGAGAGGGCCCAGGATAAGGTCAACGGAGGGGCCAGCGATTCAACCAACCGTGCCTGCGGGACGCCACCCCAGCGAAACCGCACGCGGAAGCTCGGGCGAGCTGCCCGCTTAGAAGTACTCCGCGCGGGTCACACAGCAAGGCGCCAGGGAGGGGACACGTTCTCACACCGCAGGAAGGCGACGGCGGGAGCCTCCTGCTGGGAACCTTTTGAGACCTCACCGTCTGACGGCACCCGATCGGCCCTCCCGCTGTAATAAAGATGTGCGGTGCTTTCCGGAGTTCTGGGGCGTTCTAGCAGATTACTGTACCTGAGGGCGCCAGGGGGACTCTGGAATGTGTAGCCAGTGGGCCCGAAGTGGGAGTGGACTGAACGCCCCCCGCCACCTGCAGCTGCGGGTGTGCGGGAGGGCAGTCTGGCGGAGGCCCAGCCCTAAGCGGCGGGGCAGGCCGACTCCATCCGCTGGCGCCAGAAGGCATAGCCTCGAGTTTGGCAAACGTGTTGCCCAGTCCCAACGGAACCATCTTAAATAGGGTCGAAGGACCTTCCTGGTCCAGTCACCCAGGCCCTGTCCTTCACAGGGCGCCGGACATTATAATGAGCTCCAAAGTGCAGGAACAACCTCTGCAGTCACCTCTCCTATGTGACCTTCCAAAGAGAGTCAAGAGGGAGAGGAGGGGTGGAAACAAGAGAAGGGAAGCAGAGAGGAAAGGAAAGGCTCAGGGAGGACACGTGTGGCACACTGGGGCACTGCCGTCCTGCCGCGTGACCGTGGCGCTGCCGGGCACTCGGCACCTCGCCGGGCCCAGGGCAGCTGGACTAAAGCAGCAGGTGGGCGGTGGCCATTGACAAGGACATCTGATTTGTAAACCAGTAAGGTTGTGGCTCCTTTAAAGATGTACTTAAGTTCCATTTAAAGAGCAGTCATTCCTGAAACCTCGAGATGGACCTAACGTGCCTAGCACCCCCTTCCTGGTAAAGACCTGCGCAGCTGCTGGGACGGAACTAAGCCCCAGCCGGCGCTCACTGTCCTTCGCCTGGCAGAAGGGCGTGCCTGAATGCCAGCCCCGGAGAGGACCTGAGCTCGCCTGCCTTCTACCCAGATGCAGAACCTCAGATCAACTTTTCCACAAAAGAAAAGTTTCCAAGATGCCACCCATACTTGGAAAAAGCCAGGTTAAAATACTATTCAAGTCAAGCTTTCTTGATATTACTCTATCTTTCCCCAGGAGGATTGCACTAAAACAAATTCGGACACCTGTGGCCTCTTCCTGCAAAGCAAAAAGCCAGCAACAACCCCAAGCTGATAAGATTAATCTAAAGAGCAAATTATGGTGTAATTTCCTATGCTGATACTTTGTAGTTAATTTTAAAAAAAGGTTTCATTTTCCTATTGGTCTGATTTCACAGGAACATTTTACCTGTTTCTGTGAGGCATATTTTTTCTCCTGGAAGAGAGGTGCTGATTGGCCCCAGCCCGGTGTAAAGAAAATTTCCAATGTAAACTCATTTTCCCTTGGTTTCAGCAATTTTAAATCTATATATAGAGATATCGTTGTCAGAATTGCATTGTTAGCTTCTCCTGGTAAACTAATTGTCTCGCATTGTCATTGCAAATAGAGATCTATTCATGGGTCTCCCCTCCCAACTGATTCCAGCTCTGGTCTGCTTACTAGCATGTAGCAGCGACTTCATCCTTGGACGCAAGTACAACATCCCCTTAGAAGAGACCATCAAAACACTGAACATCCTCACAGAGAGAAAGGTGAGTAAGCTATCTGGCACCATCTATCAACGTAGGGTAGTGCTGTGGGTGTTTCTTGGACTGCGGGAAGAATACAATAGCTTCCAGAGACGTTGGTCGTTGGTAGAGGGTGAGGGGAGACCTGTCCCCTGGTGCTTTGTTTTCCCCCTGAGGGACTGTAGGAAGTTTTCTTAGTTTGAGGGAGTGAAGGCTGCCTGCAAGGACTATTCTGCGCAGTTGGAGGTAACCCTCTCTCCTGTCTCTCGTTCCTGCCCAGGCCAAGGACCCACAGTGCATGGAGCTGACGGTGGCAGACGTCTTGGCCGCTCCACAGGTAGGAACTGTCTGGGGTGGTCTGCTTCGCAAATGGGTGACTTGGGACAGGCGGGCCATCCACAAATGTCTGAACAAGAAACTTTTTGAACAGAAAACAGGCCGAAATTAACTATGAGATGTTACATGTTTTCAAAGAATGAGAATTCTGATCTTTACTCTTAAAACCTGCTTTGGTGTTTCTGGTTGCACTTGATTGAGAAGGTGCGCAATAGAAACCTTGGCCTCTGGGATCCTAACTCAGCTCCCGGTCAAGGAAGAGCCCTTTGGGACTCACCCAGCTCTGGCCTAGCACCTGGATTATAGGAGATGCTCAGTGAATGCTTGTTGAAGGAGAGGATTTTCTGGCCCATACGTTTCCGAAAAACCAAATGCTCTCACACAAAACACAGATATTGAGATTACAGGTTGAGGAAGCTTTCATTTTGTCTAAGAGACTTCCTACGGCTACAGAGAGGGTTTTGCCAGAGGCCCTCCTCTTCCGCAGCCTGGTCAGCGAAGGGCCCACCAGCCCCAGGCTGGCTGTCCTTGGACCCCCGGCTCGCTCTGTCCTGCCAACGCCCCTCGAGCCTGGTCCAGAGCCTCCTGCCAGACAAGGTCCAACTCATCCCTGCCTCTGGCTGCTCGGGCATCTCACCTTCCCGCCTCCTGTGCGTCTCACCCCCGCCCCTCCATCTGCAGTGGGAGGAGATAGATTTGACAGCTGATAGTGCATTTTCTCTGACAAACACATGACTACAGATATATCAATAGCTTTGTGCACATCAGTTCCTGTTTTCATGGAAACACATAACTGAGAATGAAAAACCCAAAGATTCAATTTACCAGTGGTCTCCTAACCACTTGCTTTCCACGTGCACTGGGGGTAGCTCGGCCAGGAGTGCAGCCCCGTGGTTTGGGCAGGGCCACACTCCAGCGCCTGCGTCGCAGACGGACCCGTCCTGCTTGGCGAGAAAAACTCTTCTTCGGGTCTTTACCTGGTTCCCTCATTTCGTTAAAAATTATGCCAGGAATTTGATATACAGTAATATATAACATTATAATATAGTTATATATGTTATGTAAACAAACATATATAAGAATACATATTATATAATTTTGTCCTTCAGAAGCTCATTATGTATCAGACTCTATCAGTAGGTTAGAAGGACTCGAAGATTGTTTATACATATAAAATTATGTATGTTAACGTGATATAGTAATATTTTATATAAAGACATATACATAAATATTTTATATATATATAGAAAATAGACAAGGGTCCGCGGCCTAGTGTGCTGGATCTCCAGAGAGCCTGACCGAAGTCCAGAGCAGGGCAGGGGCCGGAAAATGAGCCAGCCTGTGGCTTTAGAGCCAGCTCTGCCGTCAGCCGCTGTGTGGCCTTTGCAAGTCTCCACTCCTCTTTGAGCCTCAGTTTTCACATCTGAAGAAATGAAAGTGATTTTGAAAGTTGGTTGGAATCCAGCTCTTAAGCGGAAAGTGTAATTGTAAGATGATACAATTCTTGATCGTCTGACAAAACTGGTTGTAGAGAAGCAAAGTGCAGAAGCAAGCTGGCTGGGCTATGAAGGATTTCTTGGGTGGACGGTGAACTGGAGGTATTTCTGCCAAAGAGGCCTAAAGTTCATAATTTTTCAGAAGGCTCTATGTCAACCCTCAAAAAATTTTTTAAGTGAAAGTAAAGGATTTTCTTATAAACAGCACTGGCTGACTAAATTTGGGCAGAAGTAGAGATAACGGATATGACACATAGGACCCAATTTTTATGACGCTCGGTGAAGCCAGTCACAACCCAAGTTAGAGCTCTACCGGAGTCACTGCCACGACTTCCGCAGAGTTCTAACTTGGCATCAGCTCCCGGACGCGCTCTGTCAGTCTGACATTCCCACGAGGGGGCTCCCTTCTGGCACAGGCCTGGGCCTCCCCCTTGAGACTCCTTTCTGCACAGCGAGGTCACTGGGCCGTTGAAGCGCGCCCCTGCCCCTGAGCTGTGCTGGATGCACGCAGGCACCGAAAGCTGGACAAGGAGCTGTAAGGTGTCAGTACGGGCGTCTTCCTGTTGCTGCAGTACCAATGGAGCTAAAACTTTGAGGCCCTTAGCTAAAGCAGCCTTTAGAATGAGGTGTTTTTAAAGTTTTCCATTTGATTCAAACTCTTTTCATTTCCAATTTTATCCAATTACCCTTTAACAAATGTCTTTAGAGGGTTTTCCTCTATCACATGGCCACATATGCAAAACTAAGAGGCAGTTTAATTTCTATGCTCCAAGCCTGTTTCTCAAAAGTCTCATTAGGTTTTAATGGAAAAATAGGCGAAAGGACGCATCTCCTCTTGGCCCTCGAACCTCGCTGTTCTCTCTACAGCCGCACGGGGTCCACCCCAGGTGCGTCCCCAGGTAGCACGCCCTTGCCTCGGCCTCGCCGCCTCTGCTCACCTGCAAAACCCCCGATTTGTGGGAGGTTCTTGGCTCCCTGAGCCCAGAGACACTGGTGTTGCTCTTCAATTTCCAACTAGAATCAGGGCCCAGGAGGGCTCTTAACCAGTTTGTTAAGCATGTGCCCTGTCCGGGTCCTGCCCACGGGCCAGCACGCCCGCCAGGGAGGCAGGAAGCTTTTGCAGCTAGGGATTCCGGCGCTTCTTGAATTAGCCTAGAGAAACAAGAGATGAGCACAAAGATTTACACCGACGACGTACTGCGGCATTATTTACAGAAGCAAAAACACTGCAGTAATAGGGGACTGACCAATTATGGTATAAATACGTCACGTGTTCCTACAGAGCTCTCGATCCCCTTTTCCAAATACTTTCGAACGACTTAAGAAAATGCTGGTACTATGTGTTAAGTATAAAAAGTTACAAAGCAGTACCGATACCTGGTCCCTATTTTGAAAAGAGTATTTTTAAAAACACTGGAAGATATTTACCAAAATATTAACAGTAGTTCTCTTTGGCTGGTGGGATAGTGCATGAATTCATTTTTTGTTGGGATATATATGATTTTTGTAGTAAACTTACATTACCTTGATAATGAGGAAAAAAATATGTAACAAAGCTGCTTGGACAGTACTTCTGAAATAAACCCCCGCCCCCGAGATATTGCTAATGCACATTTGTGATGCCGAGGGTGGGGGCGGGGCCCGAGAGTCTGTGTTTCTAACAAGCTCCTACGTGAGGCCTGTACCGCTGCCCGGGACCACACTGTGGATGACAAGGGACCAGAGCACGTCCCGGCGGAGACCAGGGAGAGCTTTGTCGGAGCCGGACGGGGCTCGAGCTGTCCTGCTCTCCAGGCCCTGTGACTGCGTGTCGGGGGGAATGCGAGGACACACCAGGCCTGATTCAGACTGAGGCACGATCCCTCTCTCAGGTTCCCAGCAAGAGCTGCTTCCCTGCCTGGACGCTCCCTCCTCTGAGGGCCAAATGTCCCCAGGAAGAGGCAGCTGGCCAGGCCCCCATTCAGGGCTGCCAGCTTTCTAAGCACCCTCCGAGCGTGCACATTCGAGGTCAAAGGCCCCAGACAGGAGCCCTGCCCAAGGCCCAGCGCAACGGCACACCCCCTCGGAAGCTTCCCCGGTCCCCTGAGACCAGACCCCTGGGACACCTCACCCCGCCCCTGGCCCCCACCTCACCGTGGGAGAATGTCTTACGTCCTCACCTGGACCTGAGTTTCTACGTGAACTGCCGTCTCCCTTGGGGATGGCTAAGTGGAGGGTGCGGCCCGAAGCAGCGCTGTCCAGGCCAAAGGGGCGACCGTCACTAAATGGGGGAAACCTGGATTTTAAAACCGGATCGGAATGGTGGAGAGCACAGCCTGACTGTGAGCTCATGGAGGCGCATCCCACAGAAAGAACGACTCGTGTTGCGCAGAGAATGGCCCGGCCAGGCTGGGAGAGATGGTTCTGTCTTCAGGCCACCACTCTGCCGCTTGCCTGGCTCAGTGACTTTATTCAGGTACCCATTCAACAAAAGCCTTTAGGGAAGAGAAACGGGGAGCCCAAGGAGGAGGCCGCTGGGTGTGCAGAGCACCGGGAGAGGTGGCTGCGGAGGATCCCGGCAGAGGCGCATAGCTGGGTCACCCCGTGTGGGGAGCCGTGAACGCCTGAGCCACCGCTCAGCTAACTTTCCTGCGCCACCTGTCTTCCCGGGAAGAGAAACCAGAAGGGAAAACCTCTCTCCCAGGTTCAGACGGAGCTAGTATATGACACTCCAATATTTCTCTTTCTAGAACACAACTGAGAAGGAGATCTTGTGCCGGGTGGCGACGGAGCTGCGGAACGTGTATAGGCACCACCACGAGTGCGCGGCCGGGAGGCTCCTGAGCAAACTCGACAGGAACCTCTGCGCCATGGCCGGCAAGGTAAGCGGTGTCACGCTGGACGTGGCTCCTGCCCGCGCCCTCCCGGCTAAGTGCCCCTCCCTGAGCGGGAGCCCCCTGTTAACCGACGTGCACTCAACTGACAGGTACTTGTTGAGGCCCCGTGAGTGCCAGGTGCTGTTCTAGGTACAGGGGGTGCAGAGCTAAAGAGAAGAAGGCGGAGTCCCTGTCTCACAGAATGTTCCAATGGGGGAGGGCGGGGAATAGAAAAGCAAACTAACATGTCCTGTGACACGTCCTGCAATGGTTAGTGCAGTGCAGAAAAAATAGAGGAATAAAGAGCGTAGGGGTGAGGAGGAAGGAAGAGGGTTGATATAGTAGCTGGTGTCACCCTCTGAGAAGATATTTATATGAAGTGAGGGAGCAGACCTCCCCGGGGACAGAGGTGCAAAAGCCTCAGGTAGAAACGAGCTCCCTGTGTTCAGAGATGTGGAGGCGGCGTGAGCCAGGGGGCTTTTAGCAGGAGACCCCATCACACGGGCCTCTGGCTTCCGCCGCAGGTGTGGTGGGAAGCGCCCACAGGGTTCTGTGCAGGCCAGAGGCCACGACCGGATTGAGGGATTAAAAGGATCGCTCTGGCTGCTGCGAGGGAAACAGACTGAAGTGCGGGTCAGCACTGAAGCCAGACGGCCTGCTGGAGGCCACTGCAGAGCCCCGGGGGCGGGGAGGCGGCTGTGGTTTTGCACGGTGGGAGCAATAGAGGCTGTTAGATGTGGGATGCAACTAAAAACAGAGCGAGCAGGAGGAGGTGACAGAGCCAGTGTGCGGGGTGTGCTGGGGTGAGTAGAAGGCGACCTGGTTCCAGGCTGGAGCCCTTGGGGGGTGGCTGGTGAGGACAGATATGGGAGACCAAGGGCAAAGCAGGGCTTGCGGCTGAGCAGAAGACCAGGAGTTTAATTTTCTGCAGACTAAGTCTGCGTATGTGCTGGACAGCCAAGTGGAGGTGTTGGAAGATTGCTGGAAAAGTCTGAAACTTAGGGGAGAGGTCACAGAGCCTGCGGTGTAAGATGAAGGGTCCGCAGAAAGATGTCATTTAAAGGCGTAGACCTGGAAGGCAAAGAGAAAGGACAAGGCCACGCTCTGGGCCGGAGGCCCTAACAACCAGGGGTCAGGCAGAGGGTCCAGCAAGAGGCTGAAAAGGAGCAGCAAAGTGGGGGAAACTGGGGAGTGCGTGGTGCCCAGAAGGCAAGGGAAGACACTTCTGAGAAGGAGGGAATGGCTAAGTGTGTCAACTGTCCTGGAAAGTCAAGTACGATAAAGAGATGGCCACTGGATTTGGCACAACAAGGGCATTGGCGTGGGGACACAGATGGAGATGTGGGAATGCGAGGCGTGGGTGGGGCGCAGCACGTGAGCACAGGAAACCCCCTGGAGGTGCTCTGCTTTGAGGCGGCCCAGAGAGGGGCCACCAGCTGAAGGGCAGGTGTGGCCGAGGGGGGGTCTTTGAAGGAGGCTACACACTCAGCATGGTGCCGGGCCAGTGGGAAACGCCCCGCGGCCAGCAGAGAGCCAGAGGGGACGTCCTCTAAGGCCCAGGAACGGAACTGGGGACATCATCCCCTCCCTGGGCCTGCCACCTTATTTATCCATGAGCTAAGGTAACTCAACAGGGAGCTGGCATGACATCCGTTCTCTTTTAATCCTCTGGAACATCTTATAAAATCGGCACTATCGCTCCCATTTTACAAAAGAGGAAATGGAAGCGTTTTATAAGTGCAGAGGTCTGCCCAGAGCTGCGAGCCGAACTGAAGCGGCGGCCGGGTGGCTGGTCGGGGATCCCCTCCACTACACGCGCCGCCCAGCTGTGGCGCGGCTACTGACCGGGCAGCGGCGGACAGCGGCCCTGGGCTGCCCCAGGCGGTGCGGGACACACCTCCCCAACACGGCGGCGCCCCCGAGGCCAGGCACGTAGTAAGGGTACAAGAACCATTTGTAGGAGTGGAAGCCTTATGCCCTGAACACAGCGAACCCGGCGGGCCGTGGGGCAGGGGCGAACGCCCAGCAAGCTGGCCTGAGGCCCTGCTCTGATCGGGTTCGGGCTCCACGGCCGGCTGGAGTGGGCGCGACTCGAGCAGGCACGTGCGACAGCAGGACACAAATACTGAGCGGCGCAAGCTAATGAGCTGTTTCTTTTGCAGACCACGTGTCCCGTGAGCGACGTCGGGAAGAGCACACTGAAAGACTTCTTGGAAAGATTAAAGAGGGTCATGAAAGAGAAGTACGCAAGGGGTTGAAGCTGACCGTTTTAATTTATGAGTTTTTAATGGCCTTATTTTAAAACTATTTATATATTTATAGCTCATCCTAAAATAAAATATATGTAGAACCTGACAGCATGATGCCGTTGTATACTAGTCCTGGCGCTTTACTCGGCAACTTTTGGGGAAATCACTTTAGTTTCCTGAGAAACTGGTACGGAAGTCAGAAAGGAGGGGCGTCTCTCCTCTCTCCAGCTGGGGACACAGGGCACAGAATGACAAACGAGGATGCGTCCATGTAAGACGGAAGTGAGGAAAGCGAGCTTGCAGAGCGAGCCCAGGAGACCGGTGACTAGCAAACCATTCTGAGTGGAAAAGATGTCAGCTGGGTGCTTAGACCATGCTTCTCCCATTGGCACAGGGTTGTTATATGGAGATTATAAGGGAAAAAGTAATTCTAGCACACGACGTGGCTCAGCGGGGAATAATATTTGAAGTCCTAATAATGTGAATGCTCTTGATTCTGAAGTCCTAAGACCGGCAGACGAAGCCCAGGGGAACCGTCACAGAGCAGGCCGTGGCTGCTACCAGGCTGACGCTGGCCAGGTGCAGCTGAACACGGTCACGAGGCAGAGCAGCAGGGGCGCGAGTGGCAGGGGCAGGCTCACTCTGCGAGGGGGCCGTGAAGCAACGCTGTCTGCCGCTGATGCATTAAGAACAAGAGAGTTTCATGTTTATTCAAAATTACAAAGGTAATAGAAGATCTAAAACTAATTTACTATAAAACATCTGGAAGGGATACATTAATGAGGTAAACCCTTGCTTTCCAATAGGGAAATCGACACGCAATATCTAAAGTTGATAAATCAAAACATAGTTGGCAAGAGAGGCCATGGGTGGCTGTGGTCGATGGGGACGGGCCCAGGGGGCGGCGGCCAGCACCTGGGGCACGGGGCTGCAGGCGCAGAGAGTGCCTGCGCATGGACGCAGGGTGTCCTTTGGGAGCAATGAATTGTTCTGAAATTAAATAGTGGTGACTACACTGAAAACCATCGAACTGTACACTTTAAAAGGAGGAATTTTACAGTACATGAGTTATAGCCCAATAAAGCTGTTATTTAAAAAAAATTAAAGGGGAAAAAAACGAGCGTCAATTCATTGAAACTTGCCTTCTGAAGACATGTTCTCTGCAAGAACATGGATCTGTGGCAATGAATGAGCGCTCTTTTCATCCTCGCTTACACATATGTGACAATTAACACTAGTACTAAAATTATACCAGAACATATAACATCTTTTTAACCCTATCAAAATAAGGGAACAAATCAAAAGCTTCAAGTCTCACCCTGACCACAGCCAGTTTCACCCTGCCCACATAAAATACCAGCATGCCAAGGGCAACAAGTAACTAAGAGAGTCATGGAGCCTTCTAAGGCCCCGCTGAGCGCATTAGTTTCCTTTCTTCTTTGATTGAGACTGATTTGCATTCAATGGCTAATGTGAGCTGTAGTCTGCCACAGGATATGCGCTGTGGGTTGGTGTGTGTGAGGCCTGGATGGTCAAAGAAAGGCTGTTGGGTCTTTAGCCTGGGCTGGAGAAGGGACACATGCGGCTCCAGCAGGTCTGCCCTGAGGTCAGCTTCAGTGGCCAAGATGCAGCTGAGTCTGTTTACGTCCAGACAGGCGAGGCTGGGCTGCGGAGCGGAGCGCCCCGTGTAAACCCCTGAGTTTACCAAGGGAGCGAGGCACCATGAACTGAGGACACACATAAAAAGAATGAGGGAAGGAACTTGGGGTTAAGTGAAAGTTGAGGTGTCTGTCACTTACGCACATTCATTTAGGAAACTTAGTTTAGCCACAGCCCATGCCGGCTTCACGGGACGTGCCTCCCGCCTGCGCTCGGAATGTGGGTGACGCAGGCGGCGAGGGTGGGGCCCCGCCCTGGTATCAGCTACCGCTCCCCGTTACCTATGAACGCATTGTATCTCTGACCGGCATTAGTTATTGAATAAATACATATTTGGGTGATAAATACTAACTGAATAAATGAATGAAAGAAGAAAACGTTTCTCAGAGAAAGACAAGTTCCATGTGATGTCACTCATACGTGGAGTCTAATGAACAAAGCGAACTAACAAGGAAAATAGAGACAGACTCACAGATGGAGAGCCGACTGACAGCCGTGTGGGGCGGGGGTTGGGGCTCTGGATGAAAAAGGTGAAGGGATTAATACGTACAAGTTGGTAGTTACAGATTATTCACAGAGACGTGAAGTGCAACATAGGGAATATAGTCAATAATGATGTGATAACTATGTATGGGGCCAGGTGGCTGCCGGAGATATTGGGGAGAACACTTTGTAAAGTATATGACTGTCTAGCCACGATGCGGCACACCTGAAACTAATGGAAAAGAAAACTGAACGGGAGCTGTAATTGAAAAACAACCCAACAAATAAAGTCTGATCCATGCAAGGGAATGAAAGAAGAACCCCGTTCACTCAAAGCTATGGCTGACTGTCTTTTATTGAAACCTTCCTGGGCCACAGTTAGAAACGTTGGCCTCTGATAAAAATGCATCGGGGCTCTCTTGCTGCTGCCATTAATTGGCATGTTCATGCCACTTGCCTGGCCCTGTTTCCCCTGCCTGCCGCCCCCCCCCCACCGCCTGTCTCTCCCTATGTCGTGTCAGTCGCCCTCCCAGGGTGCCCAAATCATCTGGGACTGAGGAATTTGGGGACAGAGCGCAGCACACAGCTCTCTCCTGGAGCAAGGCCTGGCCCGGCCCGGCCCCCGGCAGCTCTCACGCTTCGCTTCCCGGGTCCCACCAGCTGCCGCACGGGGCGAGGCAAGCACCCACTCTGGTCTCGGGGCTGACGCCTCAGTTCAATGTCTGCTCGCTGGAGTCCTCGTTCCCTGGTGGAAATGCTGCTTCCCATCATGCCTAGCACTTTCTGGACTGGCCATTGCCCCGAGCTCTCAGACATTCTCTCCAGCTCTCTAAGGTGTTTCTCTTCTAATCCATCCTTCCCATCCACTTTTTCCTAGTTCAACTTTCAGTCTTGAAGCAGCCAATCACCAGCGTTAAACCAAACACAAGCACGCGTTCACGGTTGGCGTGCTCACTGCACACCTGGGCACCTGCTGGGCAGCAGGAAGGTGCAGATGGTTCGTGCGTCGCGGCACCGGCCACGGCCACCAGTGCCAGAGAGCCAGTGGAGGGGAGGGGGGAGGCTTCTTAGGCTCCCGCCCGGGTGGGCCTCCAGGACATGACAGCATCTGCCCTCCTAGTGCCCCCCCCCCAGCCTTTCGTGATCTTTCCAGCAGTCATTTCTTTAACACACAAGCAGTGCGAACGACCCACGTAAAAGTCAGCCTGCTAACCGAAAACTCACCGCGGGATCCTGGCCCGTCTCTCTCCTCCTGGGGCGCAGCTGTCCCCAGCCCTTTCGCCTGACTTCAAACCTGCCACCCAGGCGCGTGGCATCTAGATTCAGCTCACTCCCGTCTGCCTGGAATGCCTCCTGGCCCCCCGGCCCCAGGCTGGGCTGCTCCTCTGGGGGGCAGCAGCCGTCTCAGACCCTTTGGTCACACGCAGGGGCAGCTGCTGGGGAGGACCACCCCGCCTGGCAGCGCCCTGGTCACCCTTCTTACTACAGCCCTCAACATGCTGTCACCCTCCGCTTCCTGGGCACCCCCTCCCCGGCCACCCGCGGAGGGAGGCCGGGAGCTCCGCGAGGCCTTGTGCCCGGCGCGGGGCACTGAGGGCTGAGGGCAGGGTGCCAAGGAGCAGGAATCAAGGTCAGCATGGTATTTGTCATGATTCTGGTACTTTTAGGTTGGGTTAGGCAATATCCTCTACCTGCTAAGATTGGTATCAACTCTGAGACATATTGTATTCAGTTGTAAAGTCCCAGTTAAATTCCTTTGCACAATTGGAGAAATAAAGCCTTTGATTAAAAACTAAAATTTCCCCAGCCCTCAAGAAAGGGATGGGGGAGGGGAGCAGGTGTGGAAGGATGTCTGATCTGTCATATTGTTTAGTCAGAGCCATAAACGTGTCTGGGTAAGACAAAGTGATGTTCTGATAACGTTGATAAAAGTGGCTTGAAGATTGGGTCACAGGAAGCCCAAGATAAATGCTGAGAGGAAACAGGTTCTTTTTGAAGTAGCCTCTTCATAATCATTTTCCCACACATTTGTTCAACTTCCGGAGGACTGAATATCTGATTTGCTTTGCAAATGAAACGGCTTAAGAATGTGACATTCAGATAATGTTATAACAAATGTGTTTGGAAGGCTCCTGCCGCTCGCTTTAAGCTGTGGCTTCAGAGCCGCTTACTGTTCCCGTGCGCACAGGCCAGCTGTGGTGCCCTAGGCCCACACTGGGGTGTTTTGGGTTTTGATTTTGTTTGTACTTGGTATTAAAAAAGATTTGGGGGGGGGTCTTCGTAAGAAGGTGGGAGGGACAGCGGCTGCCTGTGGAGGTGAGCAGGACTCAGCGGGGAGAGGACACAGCGTGAGGCGGCACTGCTTGCTGTCCTCGCTCCGCGCAGCCTGGGGGTCACAGAAGCCAGCAGCTGGGCGGGGCAAGAGCGCGGCCCTCGGGCGGCCAGAGGGGTCTCCTGCCATGGCAGAGAGCACATTTCAGTCCCTTGAAACTTGCCAACAAGCCAAAGCTTCTGGATCACCGCTGTGAATTTAAGGTCTCCTAGCACAGTGCCTGGTAATCAATAAATACTTGTCAAAAGGACCCATTATTAACAATAATCCAAGCAATGTTATTGTTTTAAAGATATTTAAGCTCATTAATAATTTTTGAAAGAGCACAGTATCACTACCACTCAGAAATGTCTTCTTTTACCTTTTAGTGAGATACATTCTGCATACACACTTCTTTAAGTTTCTGTTCTCAAACACCTAATGAAAAGGATAAAACTTGGATAGAAGATATTTTTTAATCCTCATCTGAGGATATATATATTTTTTATGGATTTCAGAGAGAGGAAGGGGGGCTGGGGAGAGAGAGAAACACCGATGTGAGAATCATCAATTGGTTGCCTCCTATACGCACCCTAACTGGGGATTGAACCCTCAGCCTAGGTGCGTGCCCTGACCAGGGATCAAACCTGCAGCCTTTTTGCCCATGGGACCATGCTCCACCCGGCCACCCGCCAAATATAGTAAAGTTTCTGCTGGGAGACCTACACCAGTATGAGTTTCTGGGTGTGAAATTAAACAGGCCTCTCTTAAATGCATGAAAACAAAACCCTGCCTATTAATATCAAGATGATCATAAACACAAAAACAGTTCGGTAAAGAAGCAGATCACTATTAGAGGCATTAGGTAAACATTTTTATTTGTTATTTAACCATGCTGCACATATATACAATATCAATATATACAACTTGAACAAGTACAATTTATACATAAAATACAGTGTAAAGTGTGGTTTTTGAAATTAATGCAACAAACTCATTGTACAATTTGTAATTTTGGCCAGTATACACTATTGTAGTAATGCTACTGAAGTTAATGATTTAAACTAGTCAGACTACTGTATAAGTTCAAAGGCACTAGGAAGACCTATGTTTTCTTCTAGTATTTTAAATCAAGAAAATAAAGGTATACATTAAGAAACTGGGCAGACAACTAGCGAACTTTAATGTACATCCTACCCATTCCTTAATTCATGGCCCTGCGGGAGAGACAGGGACCTTCCCTAAGAGTTAAGAGGAAAGACTTTTTTTTAAAGACTAAAAAGAAACAACCCAAAACCACGAACATAATTTTTTAAAAATGTTACAGATAAAGAGGCACCACACCCCAATCCCAAAGTGACCTTAACTTTCTTGCTGCAAAGAAAGGTCCCCTTTTCCTAGAAAAGTAGATGACACAGCTTATCAAACGGACTCTATGTGTGGGATAAACACATAAATGCAGTTCCTCCTCCTTGATTAATCTTACACTTTATGAGAATCTAAACAAAAATGAGGACTGCTATTATATTTTAATATCCTAACTATCAGTATATATAATTACAAAGTATATTAAAGAACATACCACAAACAAATAACATTCTACCAAGGCTCCTTTTAATAAATAAATATTACTTTTTTAAATTAAAGAGAAAATTCCCATTCAAAAACCTATTTATAGGTGACACTCATTTTAAATCTATTTCATATAATGAGCAAGTTTGCTCATCTATAGCCTTGTATGAAATTAACACTGAGGTTATGAAATATTTATTTTGTGCACAAAGACACAGTAAATGTGAAGAAGCCACAGAACTGCCGTGACCGAGGCTACAGGACAGCTGTGCAGTCAGCACCCGCGTTTTCGTACGGTTGTTCAGGCCTGCCTCACACGTCTAATTTTGGTATTTCGTAAGATGAATATTTATTGCCCATCTGGTATAATCAGTTCTATCAATTCTAATGTAAATGTTGTTTAAAAAAAAACCAAAACGAAACACTGCCAAAGCAGCCTGTTCTTAAAATTTCTCCAGGCTTTGACTTCTTTTCAGTTTCTCTGTGTTACTGCAGTGGAGTGGAATAGAAAAAACCTAACACATTGGCTTAAGTTTTCTGTAATGTTTTAGAGCTAATGTATAAGTTACTCCTCTCTTAGGAACTGGACGGCTAAAGGCTAGAAACATGAACTTTTAAAAAGAAGAAGATTTCGCTAGAGTAATTACTACCAGAGTGAAAGGTGCATCTACAGTTGCCAAGACATTCTGCTCACACAAAGCTCTGACAAGACACAAGTCCACCTCAAGTCTTCACAGTACAGAAACGGTGCCTCACAGGGTAAAGCTATAAACTTCTATCTTACACATTACAAAGAAAACGCTGCCAGTTAAATGCAGTGCTTATTGCCTAGCAAATACACACCACACACAGGACGTTCGGCGCACACCTCCGGAGCGCACTTGAAATTTGTGAGCGCATTCTTCCTACCGCCTCAGAAGTCCGCCTCCTCTCGTCGCCCCCACCCTACACACAGCTTTGCAACAATGAACCAGTATGTCACCCACCTTCTTAAAATAACGTGAATTTAATACTAATTTGTTGTAAAATCCACAAAAGATGATTAATTGCTATAAGTGTAACATAATGCTCAAAGAAATAAAAATTGTGTAAGCAGCTGACAAGGAAATCACAATACTATTTATTACAGCTTATTTTACTATAAAATAAAAATTATTTTTATTTTTAGAGGAAGAAGGTCTAACTAGATTTGTCAATGGAAGACTATTTTCGTAAGTTATGAAGAAAGAACAAAACAATTTTACAGGCAAAGAGTTAAAATCTATTTTCCTTGTTTTGGCTGCATTTTCTGGAAAATGGAGACTTTCTCAATTGGGAGATATGCAGCAACTTTCATAAAAAATTTAGAACTCAGAGGGAAGCATCCATTAATCACACTTCAAAATGAATTTTTAAAAATATACACATACGGGCAAAGTTTAGTGACCAGTATTTAGCTTCTGAATTTTCTGCAACTGTAACTCCGTTATAGTTAGGTACAAACTCAATGTTTCAAGAGAACATGAAATCAAAACAAAAAAAGTATATTTGACTTAAACTCAAAAAGGCAAAAAAGGTCATGAGAGATCTAGTTGAAATATATTTTCAACTTTTGTTTTTTAAACATGTATATTTCTAAAGACTGACTATCAAATTATGGATTTTGTGCAGATCATCTGGTACTTAGAAAGCAATAACTGATAGTATAAAAATTAGAGCTATGGAAACAGACCAGGCGGGTGTTAGGACTGAACCATTTCTTAGATACGCAGCCCACACGCTCATCTGTAACAGCACAACGCAGGACAATCAGAACTGCTACTGTCTGTGTGCAGGACAGAACACACATTTTTTTCTATTTTGAATATCCAGTTACGTAACTATACAGTAGTTGAGTAAATTACTAGCAGATTTATGGATGCATTTAAGCTGCAACTCTCTATAGCAGGCGCTGCTCCCCCAACTTCCCTGCACTGTATAAATTGAAGAGTAATAGGACTATGTGAACAATTACCAGTTATGCAATTTTAATATATTAACTTATATATAGACTAAAAGTTATTAGACAAATTACTAGTTCCAGTCTTAGTCCGTGATTTACAGCTTTCGTTCTTTGAAATTACACAAAAGTCTTCAGTGTTTTAATTAAATACTTGTCCAGGTGTGAGGCTATCACTGATTTTTATGGAGACTTGAAGTCTGTAACATTCACTGAAGTAAAGAGTCGATGACGGTTTCAGGCTTTGCAGAACGCTTTCTGGGTGGGGAAGAGAAAAAGAAAACACGAAGACTTGACTGAAAGACGGAAACACAAGCACTTTACGTTATGCAACAGATAAAAACAAGGGGGCAGAAACAGGCCGAGGCCAGCCGGGTCTGACGCGTTAGGAGACCGAGTCACGCCCGCCCGCTCAGGCTGGGGACGGGCGCCTGGAGCAGGTGCCAGGGCACAGCGCCGCCCCGCCCCGGAGCGCCGAGGGGTTCCATGCGCGACGGCTCCCGAGGCTGGACCGGACAGCTCAGCCAGGCCAAGTGCGCTGCGTGCCTGCCAGACGGCAGCCCTGGTGACCCTCTCCAGGGCCGGCTAAAGGCGCAGTTTATTCAGAGAAAGGGAGAGGCCACATCATCTGGGGCGACACCGCACAGATGCCCAGGTCCTGGAAATGCAGCATTCATGGGCCGTGTTTATAGCGATTTTGCTCAGTATATTGAACTATGCATTTCTAATGAGGAACATCACATTGAACACCATCATGTAATATAATAGGAATAAACCATTTATTGTGTATATTTGTCTGTGTTTGTGACCATCTATGGCATTCATACCCCAGCAGGCTAATTCTGGTGCAGGGATGGTGGGTCTGGCTTATCAAAGGTTGGCTCACATGTATTTTTCCTTTGGTTAAACCAAAAAAGTATATATTTTTAAGTGAGCATTCTGAAAATTGTACCCAAATAACTTATTAAATTGTTTTAGGTCCACATAGTTTTTTAAAAAGTGACTAAAAATGGAGAGATCTCATGTAAATAACTTGATTTCTGGCTTCTCCTTTGAAACCAGAAGAGTCAGAAACAATGGGCCCTCTGTTCCCCACACCAGCGAGGGCCGGGTGGCCGCTCGCCCGGACAGGCTGCGCTCCGGTTGCCCCCGGCCCCGCCGCCGCCTATTTGTCACCTGCGCTGAGGCCAACTGTCTTAGCATTCACCAAAAACACTGGCATTGTTAGTTTTTGTACTAATTTCAGAGTTAAGAGGAAAATACTTCTATTAAAAGTGGAAAAGTGAAAGCTCAAGAGAGAGCTGTATCTCTCTGAACCGCTCCGCTCCATTCGGTAATATCACACACGTGGCTTCTGCTGGCAGAGGAAAAGCTTTGAACCCCTGGCGCCTAAGTGCTAACGGTGTAAAATTTGTGTGCTTTGAATGCGCTCCTGACTCCTCCTCCCTGAGCGCAACCACCCCAAATTTATAAATGTTCGGTTATGTCTGTGAGGTCAGGCAACACAAACACATTAAACCCACAGAGCCTCACCCTACATGTAACTCAAAAGTTCAGTGCTCAAAGCAGGGGGAAAAATAAACTTTTTATTCCCTCTCATTTCGGGAGCCTGAAAGTTTTACAACGAGTTTAACTAAGCCCCACAGCACTTGCTGCAGGGCAGGGAGAGTGGGAATGCGCTCCAGGCTGTTACAGCCCGCTACGGCACGGGCACCGGCAGCCTCCTCCACAGCCCAGACCAGCACCCAACGGGGAGGGGAAGGCAGCTGGAGTTTTCTTTAACTGGTGGCTGAGGAAATCAAAGTCCTTGGGACAATGTTGATGAGAGAAAAAATGAATCAGCTGGATGCTTGGGAGTCTAACCAGACAAGGTAATTAGCATCGCACTAAAAGAATTGGTATAAGAATTAAGGATTTAAGATAGGAGATAGCGTAAAAAGAGCAAAATACATTACAAATAACTTCTCTTACTCAACACAGCTAAAGGGGGTGGAAGGCCTTAACTCTTTAGTAAGATTTTATTTTCTCAAATTATAACTACATAAGCACTTTGATATTGAAATATATCAACCAAAATATTTATCATCTTAAGTAAATTTCCTTTAAATATATCTAATTAGCATATCTCATGGCCTTGATTCCAGGAGACTCAAAGACCGCCCTTACCTCCTGCCGGTCTTTGGCCTGGCCTTGCCCTTGGACGTCCGCGGCCGCTCCAGTTTCAGCAAGGACTGCCGCAGGCTCTCCTCCGTGTAGGCGAGATACACGTGGGAAAGGTCCACTTCGAAGGGCTACGCAAAGGAAACCAACACCAGCCGCTCTTAGGGGGAGACTTTAAACCAGATTTGGGGAAAGATTTAAAATACTGAATAAACTCTAGAAGACAGCCCCAGGAGACAAGGCCAAACACATGTCTAAAGACATCTTCCTTAAGGCCATGATCTCACAGGCATCCGGCGAGAGTTGGTGAGCGAGCCCCGACCACACCATAAATTCCTTAGGGGTAAAGCAAAGCTGCTGCCGTCTGCCCTAACGCTGCTATTTCCACCGGGGGACCGAAGACTAGGACTAGCTTTGAGGAGGGCATTCTGGTCTCTAACCAGAGCCCCATGACCCAGAAGGGCAGTGTAAGGGTGAGCCCAAGCAGCGCCCACTGGTCTCGCGGTGGGAATCAGGCTGCGGCAGTGCGGGTGGCGAGTGCCGCCCTAACACCCCAACCCTGGAGCTCCGCTCCCCAGTGCGCAGCCTGCTTTTTCAGGGCAGCTGGTTAACGGACACTGTGCTGATAACATCCTTTAGTGACCCGTATTCCTATAAAAAAACACTGTAATTTAAAAAAAGGGCACTCTTACATCTTTCTCTTTTTTATCAGGAATTGGAGTCTGCTTCCTCATGTTATTTCCTGTGTAGGCAACACATTTCTCAAAAAAAAAAAAAAAGAGGCAGAGAAAAATCGTTTTAATTAGCAATTACTACTGTGAATTAGCAAATTACAGTGAGACACCCTGATGTTAACAAATGCTGGGACAGAAAGGGGCCCAGGGACCCACCAGTCCTGCGCAGCCCGGCCCAGGCCACTCCTGCCGAACGGTCTGTGTGCTCTCACACAGCAAGTGAGGAAAGCGTCTTCTGCGCCCTTGGACTCTCATCTGAGTCACCGTCTGGACCACCCGCCTCCCCCCTGGAGCCAGAGAAATTCCTAGGCTACAGGCAGTGCTCCACAACTCCTGTGTCACCAAAGGGTGAAGGTCATTCTCACCAGCTGCCATTCTCCTATGTCTTCATTCCAGTGGACGTAGTTCTCAATCATTTCCTTTTAAAAGAGTCAAAGATGGTCTATTTTTAACATTTAATAACATTTAAAATACTGAAAAGTATTCATGAAACTAAAATCTTTATAATTAAGGGGAAATTTGTCTCAAAACATTACATATTACATGATATACTTTTTATAAATTTAAAAATATATGCTTCTAAGAAATATATAAAAATAACAAGCAAGAAAATGAAGAGCATTGGACTTGGGAGGAAGGTTATCTTGAGCTGGAAGAGGCAAAAGCATTGGGAGCAGGTTACTGCCATGGCCCCAGCTTTCGTTCAGGGTGATGGGTTCACTATAAAATAACTAATTAAATGCAGGCAGGCCATCCAAGGACCGATAAGGAGCGTACCAAGAACCAAAGATCAATTCTGTACACCTGATGTCTGAAGGAAAAAAATACTAAGGCTTATTTGTAGACAAATAAATGTCTTACAGCCGTATAGAGGTGCAAAGTAAATTTTTAAAAAATCATCATGCTCAAGTTTCCTAAAATGTACTAGAAAGATGAACATTTTGAGTAAAAAAAATAGAGGCTGAGATTCTTAAATCATATGGTATTAAACTAGTATTAAGAATTAGCATCCGCCCTGGCTGGTGTGGCTCAGTGGACTGAGCGCTGGCCTGAGAACCAAAAGGTCGCCAGTTCGATCCCCAGTCAGGGCACAGGCCTGGGTTGCAGCCGGGTCCCCAGTGGGGTTGTTCAGGAGACAACTGATCGATGTATCTCTGGCACATCGATGTTTCTCTCCCTCTCTTCCTCCTTCCCTTCCCCTCTCTCTAAAAAAAATAAATAAAATCTTAAAAAACAACAACTTAAAATTAGCATCCATCTGGAAATGTACAATGATAATGGTTGTACAACATTGTGAATTTACTTAATGTCAGTGAACTATACTCTTAAAACTTAAGATCATACATTCCGTGTTATGTATATGTTACCCCTGCCCACAGACACACACGTAACTGGCACCATAAGCGGGGAGAAAAAGTGAACATGGGAGCTCTGCCTATTCTGTTCACAGGACAAAGGACGCTGAATGGGAAAACAGCACCTATACCTTGATTCTGATTGCAACTACAGTAAGTCCTCACTGAGTGTCACTGACAGGTCCTTAGAAACTGAGACTCTTAAGTGGAATGAGATGTAGAATGAAACCAGTTTTATCACAGGCTAATTGATATAAACAAGAGTTAAGTTCCTATAGTTCTGGTCACAAAAGTATCACCAAACTTCTAAATAAAGACCCAAAACCACTATAACCACTGAAATAAATGTAAGATATACATATATTCAAGAAAGATTAAGAAAATCATCTGGTTGAGGGGAAGACGTTCGCAGGAGGCCGGCGGGTGCCCAGGCAGCTGGGAGCGCAAGGTGGCAGCCAGCCCCGCCCACGGCGCCTGAGCCCCACGGCGCGCATCACACACGCACACACCCGCTCGGCGGGGCCAACGCAGACACGCGGGTGGCCTCGCGGCCACATCTTTGGGGTGTGGGAGGAGCCCGAGAAAGCCCACGCTGGCATGGGGGGAACGTGCCAGCTCCACAGACAGTGGCCCCAGCTGGGAATCAATTTTTCCCCCCTCATCTACGCTATAACGAAATGACAATGACCAAAACGGTTTTGTTTGAGGACCTGCTGCACCTGAATCTGGGTTTCTCTAACGGGCTGAGAAACTCTTAGACATTTCAGACACTCAAACACAGAGTCATGTATTAAGAAAAGCTAGCAGGTGAAGTGAAATGTTATAGCATTATTGCAAGAAAATTTTATTGTTGACAACTGAAAAGTAATTTACCACCAATTGTATTTGTGGTAAATTACACCAAAATGTATTTACCACCAATTAAATGACAGATTATATTTCCTTATTCCTTAACCCCAGCCAAGTGACCTAATATCTAGATCAGAGAACTTCCTTCCCTTTTACCTGATAATCCTGAGGTATGAAGTTATCAATAATAAGCATCTGAAGTCGAAGCTCCCGGCTAAGTTGTCGAATGTTCTCTAGTAAGCCTTCGATTTCTCTCTGATGTTCTTGTTGGAGATCAGCCATCTACGAGAAAATCAATGCAAATATTAAAGACAAACAGATGTAAAATACAAAGCGGTCTGATCCGGCACAGGGCGCCGGTCTAAGAAACCCCGGCAGAGCTCACGCAGCCCTCCCACAAAAACACCGGAGCGCGGCCACGGACACCAGCTCTTCCGCATTCTGCGTGAAGGTTGGAAATTCAGTTTAATAGCTAAAATTAAAAATTGCACATAAAGGAGAAATTTTTATTTCTTTAAAGTTGTAAGTATACATTATGATTCCTTTACGATTCTTAATTATATTTAATCAAAGAAACTCTTCTTTAAAAAATTCAGAATGACATTAGTAAGAGGCTTCTGAGGGACCAACCTCTGACTTCGCAGCCATCAGCATAGTCCAAACTTTCTTTAATTTCTTGGTCTTTCCCTGCGCTTCCTCTTGCAAACTGGTGTATTTTTCTTCAATATCCAAGCGTTCTTGCTATGACAAAAAAATCAATAAACGGCAGAATAACTTCTTTGTTAAATCACAAGTTTATTTAACAAATAATATACTTGTTTAGTAGCCATTATCTTCTAAGCAACCCATAGATCTGCTTTAAAATAGTATTAAAATTATAGATATTTTGCTTTTCACCAGAAAAGTTAAGCACCTGAGGCTAAGTGTCCCCTAAAACCAAAAAGCCACACTACCTCTTTCTCCTCCAGTTCTCTGCGAAGCTGCTCCGCCCTCCTCCTCCTCTCTTCCAGCTCCATGTTCGATTCTTCAAGGAGTTTTTCTTGTTCTTCAGCTTTTGCCAACAAATCAACACCCCCAACAATTACCTTCTTCTCCAGTGCGGATAGTTTCTCTAGTAAAGACTGATGCTCCTGTCTGTTGATTGAAATGAAAATACTCTATGTCCACTGATTACTATTCTACCGATATCACTTACCAAAATTTGATAAGAATTTAGATGGAAAATGTCAAAATATGAATATAACTATGTAACACCTCTATCAAATAACATCACCGGGTTCATTAATTTATTATTTGCTCTATAACTAATTCAAATCTACTGCTTTTTTTTTCTTTCACGGAGGGGAATTAATCAAAACAGATCTAATTTTTAGAAATACGACATATAAAATGAAACCTTCTATCCAAAAATAGCTACTCTGAAGACAAAAATCAAGATTTAATTATTATTCAGTTTTCTTGTTTATACATCCTATGACAAATACCAGAAATTTAAATCACAAATCCGCATCCATTCAGTGACACTCACTGGGCCTTAAGAAGGTCTTTCTCCCGCTTTTCTAACTCAGCTCGAGCCTTGTTTCTTTCTTCTTCTTCCATGTCAAGCTTTGTTTCAAGTGCTTTTCTCTCTTCATCAATTTTTGCTTGCATTTCAACCATCTTATCTGGGGAAACTTTCTTTTTACCTATTTGAGTCATTTAATTACAACAGTCACTTTAGAGTCCGTGTTTCAGTCTCGTACAGAGCCTCTGAATTTTTATAAAAGATACATTCCTCCATAAGATAAAATCAAATACTAACATTTTAAGGAAATCAAATAAATATTTTATGTTCTTAGAAGAACTTTTAAACTAATTGCTAAATTCAAACTTTTCCAATTGTGCAATGGTAACTAAGGACAAAAGTAAGCAAAAGAGAAGCAAAACAGATGAGCAGGAAAAAAAAAAGACAAAGATTAACAGTAAAGCCAAAAGAAAAAACAACCCAAAACAAAACCCAAAAAACCCCCCAAAGATCTGTGTGTTCCCAAATAACATATATGGTCAAAAAAGCAATATGACTATTTAGTTACTTTTTCTGATAACCAGGTTAAAAATCAAGTGGTTTCTCAAAATACCTCCCCGAAATTTATTATAATAAGTGAGTAAGTAAAAGTCACATATAGATATAAAATAAACAGATAAAAATATCGGTCAGAACTTATAGCTAGTTTTTAATATATATCTTCCAAGTGTTTATAAAATCTTTGTTTAATAAAGTTACTGCAAATTATTTTATTTCACAGTATACTTTTAAAGGGAAAATTCTACACTAATTATATAACAGTTACACAGTAATTGATCCAGTGTTTTATAGTTGCTGAGCTGTTCATGGTATACTTTAAGTAAAATAACTCATCCTGTCAAATGCAGGATCCTAAATCTCTCTAAGTTAGATTAAATATGACAAGTGTCATATATAATGTAGAAATACTACAAAATAATCAAGCTGGAAATACTACTTCCAACTGATTACTTTGATTATAATGTCTAGTAAGTAGAGTGTTTGTTACACAAATAATAACATAAATAAAAGTGCTACATTGTTATAAAGAGTATTCAATAAAAGTTTATTGACTAAATTTCCAAGTCATGAAATCAAAGTGAAAAACCAAAAAAGCAAAATAAAAACTAGCATATTAAACTGGTTATGAAACTGAATCAAAGATAATTCATTTCTGGTAATACAATTTCTTTGAAACATACTTTCCTTCAGAAAAACAATGAGACTTTTCGCAGAATTGGTGTGAGGCGCTCCTGAGAGCTTTCTGTGTTTCTTAACTTCCTTCCCAAAGGACCACAGAAGAGTGTGAACCAGAAGACTTTATAAATTGTTAATGTCTCCACCCAAAAGCTAACCCCTCCTGCTAATAAGGAAAGAGAACTGAAAAATAATGATAATGAAGGTAATACAAATATATATATCTGAATATATTCTTTCAGGAACCATGAGACAAGAATCATGCATAGGCTTTAACTCTGTAGAATAAAATTATATTTAAAAACCCAAGGGTTTAAAATATAGTACTTTTCACTTCTATAGAAATATAAGTCCAAAGCAAACTTAAGCCATGAAACAAATAAGTTAAATAAAAAGAATAAATAAAAGCACTGATCCAAATTCATGCTCTGGTGTGGTGTGATTCATTGCATTCCAAAACACCTGATTCTGTGGGCTTCTTTGTCGCCTGTATTTAATGTTCTGAATTACACTATTAAAAGATAAAGAATTTCCCATTGGTAATACTGTTTCTTAGAAATTTGAAGGGGAAAAGTATAAGTTCAGGTATAAAGTAAGTGCATGCGTAATAATTCATAGCTTCCTTTCCACCTCAGAATCACCAATATGTTTTTCAAAAATGCAAACATATTAAGACAAAAAAAAAAAAAACTGTGTGAAGAAGACATGGATACTAATGGTATAGAGGAAATGATCTGATTAACATATGTACATTAATTTTTTAGACTTCTAGGCTTCTAATTATTTTGTTAACAGTTACCAACCCATTATGAGGCCATAAAGAAAATTATATGTAGAAATACAAAAGTACGTCTGTTGATGAATTACTACTATGCTTAAATTGCATTATTTATTCAAAAACATTCAGCTAATATTTTCAAACCGATGTTTTAGCAACAAAGATCTTATTGTGCTCTTGTAACATTTTCATAAAAATGACCACGCAGCCCTGCCTGGTGTGGCTCTGTGGGTGGCCGTCATTCCACAAATCAAAATGTCACGGTTCGATTCCCAGGCAGAGCACGTTCCTGGGTTGCGGGCCAGGTTCCCAGTCAGGGCTGTGTGAGAGGCACCCGATGGATGTTTCTCTTGCACATTAATGTTTCTCTCCTTCTCTTTCTCCCTCCATTCCCCTCCAAAAGAGTTCAAAAACAAAAACAAATTTTTTTAATGACTGTGCATGTATAGCTAGGTTCAATTTCAAAAGTCTAATATTTCAGTAACATGTCATTACCAGAATTACTCTAGTAAATTATTATATTTCTCCCGAAATCATATTTAAGCTAAATGTAAATATGTAGCAACTCTCCTAACCAGGCACTTAAAAACATGCGATCACTAAAAGTCACTTTTACATTGACTTTTTTAAAAAATCTTAAATCAGTAAAGCCAACCAACCAAAAAAAAGAAAAAAATGCTTCTTCTAATACTGCACGATAGAATTCAGCACAAATTTCCAGATAAATATTTTTTTAAATGTTAATATCATAGAGTATTTAATTAAGCCAAACAGGAGCGGTAATATTTCTGACTGCCCTGTGCCACAATGCTCTATCCAAAACTGTGAAGGGAACTTTGGCAAGGTAAAGTTAAAAAGGAGAATCTCAGGGAAGTGTTAACTGAATTAATTTGATTTTTTTTAAAGATTTTATTTATTTTTAGAGCGAGGGGAAGGGAGGGAGAAAGAGAGAGAGAGAAACATCCATGTGTGAGAGATACATCGATCAGCTGTCTCTAGCACACCCCCAACTAGGGACCTGGTCTGCAACCCAGGCATGTGCCGAGTGAGAACTGAACCGGCGACCTTTTGGTTCGCAGGCCGGCACCCAATCCAGTGAGCCACACCAGCCAGAGCAAATTAATTTCACTTTCATTACACAAGCACCCATGGGCATAAGCAACTGGGCACCTGATTCCTCACTTTTTAAACAAAGGGAAAAAAATGCTTGACTGTGAAATCATTTATATTTGTACTAAAGTCCCCAAATTTGACTTAACAAGTCTTTAAGAATTTAGGAAAAAAGATTATGCCAGCTAGTTCTGGTGATACCTGTATTTTTGTCTCTGTTGTTAATTAGGTCTAGCATACCGCGTGTGCTGGTCACAGTCAATTTAATACTTCTGAATTGTTCCCCTGAAAAGGTCATTTTAAAATAAGAATGTTCCTAATATCTTCCTGAATAAAAACTGAAATAAATTTTAAAAAAACCAATTTGGGGAAAAAGGAAGCTTTTTTTTTTTTTAAGGCTAGAGTTGAAGGATTTTTTTTAATACAAAAGATAGATACTTACCTTGTAAAAAACTATTAAATTTTAAAAAATGTAATATAGTTAAATGACCAAATTCTTTATAGTTTAAATAACTGTACCATGTGGAGTGCAAATCAATCACACCAACCTGCTTGATCTTTCAATAAGAAGTAGTAAGCAAATCGTAGACAGGAAGCATATGCACAGAGATGAGGAGGAAAAAAAGAAAAACATTATTTCTTATGTAAAACAAAGAAAATTATATAATAGCATTTATTTTATAGCATAAGCATAGCTGTAATCAAATCATTATCAAAACTAAAAAAGAGCAGTTTTATGTAAAAAGAAAAGCATATTCAACACAATTGGAGATGTAATTTAAGCGAGGATAACAGGAAGATTAATTTAGTCTAAGATCACAATTCAGATCAACCCCAAGAGCCCGCACTCCCCCCAAACTCCCGCGAATCGAGCGGTTCAGCACCGTGTGGGCGCAGTAATGGCGGACACGGAACTGGGAAACTGCTGAGCCCTGGGAAGGGTTCTAGAAGAGCGAAACAGGAAAGTGCGCCAATTTTTTTAAATGAGTAAGTTAAAAGCAGAAAAATTCACATCATACGTTTTCAAAATTTCCCAGTTCGATGTTCTTCCACTGTAAGGACTGGTTACAGGTGTGCCTCCCTTTAAGAAAATCCAACCCAAAAACCTCAACCTCGAATTAGATTATAGCAATTTGCAGTGATTGTTTAACAAAGGGATTTAACGAAGAATTCTTTTTGAAAAGCAAGCTCTCCCAATACATTTTATTTACCAACTTGGTTTAAAAGCAATTTTTTCAGGAAAAAAAATTGACTGCGTAAAGTGAAGTACACCTGTATAATAACGAACTTGCATTCAATCTATTAGTAGATTGTTATGGATAATTACAATAATGATTCTATAGAAGTAAATAATCAACTGATGATTCAAGCAAGGGAACACCTAAATAAAAAAGCCATTCCTGTTTTTTAAAGGGAAGGTATATACAAGTTACACACAGCAACCACATGCTGGGACAACCATCCCTGTACTTCACCAAGACACCCACATCACACAAAAGAGAACTGAATATTATGTGCTAAGCACACAAACAGTACCTAAAACTGCGTGAACCGAGCAAAGTACAACTCATTTCATAACGTACTTTAGTCTTTAAGGATTAAGATAAGTTTTAAAACCGGATATTAAATTATAATCCCTCCTACTCAGATATTTTCTTGTATTTCACAGTTTATATTACAAAATAATACCTCTATATGGTTTCTAAAGCAATGTCATGTATTTTATATTGTCCTCTGAAATTAACTGTTTTGGTAAAATTTAAGAATTGTCAATAAACAATACAATTCCTAATATTCTTGGAATTCTTCCTCTAGAAAGCTCAAAACGTAAGAACAATGACCAAATGGGGTTGCTATTAGTTTTGAAAGGTAAGTATATAGATAATGCTTTAAAAGACAGTAAGCTGCAGGATAGTACAAGAAAGTATCAATTCCCCTTTCTTCTGAAGATAAAATATAAATAAAATTAAGAATACTTTTCAATTTAATTAAGGTTTAAGGAAAAGTCTTTAGATTTGAAATAAGTTGGTAGATCCTGCATAAACAATTTCTTGTGGACCTGAATTCTCCAATCACACATTAGAAAATTTCTTAAATCAGGCAATTTAGAAATAGGGATAGATGGCCATTTGATATACAATACTATACAAGTTATCTTCACTTGTTTCAAACTTCACGTTTCTTTGATTTGGGAGCTCTCACTGTAAGCTACCGTAAGAATAGGATACCAAAACCTTTGCGACTGTAGGACATGTTATAATGGGTACTGGTGTACTTCCAAATACAATTTGGACTTCCAGAAATTCAGGATTTGGAACTACATGTCCCTTATACGGGCTACGATTAGAAATTTGTCACGAAGCACAAAAGGGAATGATTAAGAAGTCTTCTTTTATACAGCTTACTAGCTCTCTTTACATTATCTCAATTGCAAAAGCATGAATCTCTCTTCCATTGTCTCGAGCATAAGCGTAAACACACGTTTTAACGATCATGGGTCGCTGGAAGCAATGAAGGGGGCGGGGAGTCATCACATGCTTGGCCCGAGAAGTCCAACATGTGCTCTTAAGGTCATGACAGGGAGCAGTGCAGCATTTCTCAATGAAGCCCATGGGTTATGGAAAAGCCAAAGCTCTGTTAGAGAACTTAAGAGCTACCACTCACTAGGCAAGAACTTATCCAGAGGTTTCTCTATGACAGAACATGTGGAGTCTGAACTACTGCTGCTGCTACTGCCTGGAAGACAAAGAAATGAGCCCGAAGAGAACCAAAGAAAAAGGCAACAAGAAAAGGAACACATACACAGAGAAAACTTCAGTTCCAGAGAGAGAATTTTAAAGGACAATCAAGCTTTGTATTACAGAACCAAAACTTACTTTCCCTTAAAACCAGTCTTGGTAGGCTAGCCCACATTCTCTAATAACAAAGCCATGCAGAGGAAGGAGGAACTGTGCTCCTTTAAGTATCTAGTGTGGGCAAACCCCAGTATTCACCTAAAACACAGTCATTCAGAGGGCTGGAATGACAAGAATAAAAAATCAATGTCATTTGGTGACATTTAAGTCTCTTTAAACTATTTAGGTTGATGAGTTAAAGGAACTGAGTTTTAAGATTTGAGGTAGTGCACAATTACAATTATAAAAACGATGGCACGCCCTTCGTTACAGACAGGCCGGTTTGCCTCTGGTTTCGCTTGCTCCCTCTAAAATGTCAAACTGTCAGTTATAACTAGGTATATTTTAAGTGTCCATGGCAAACCTTTGAAAAGCTCTCTCAATACTTTTAAATTCCTAAGCCCGAAAGAATATTTTACTATTAAATATTTTAACATATGAAACAGTAGCAGCTTTTGCTATTTAAAATTTCATTTTTAATATATCTATTATCTGCTTTAGCTTTGAATAGTTTACTCTGTGATAAATAGTACGAACATAAAATCAATTCTTTAAATCAGGGTTTGGCAAACATTTTCTGTAAAGGTACAGATGATAAATGTTTAGGGCGCTGGCCAGGTGGCTAAGTTGGTTGGAGCATCATCCTGGGCACCAAAAGGTCGCAGGTCTCCTTGCTGGTCAGGGCACACCTCGAGGTTGCGGGTTCAATTCCCAGTCACAGAGTGTATAGGGGGCAACTGATCCATGTTTCTCTCTCACATTGATTTTTCTCTTTCTCTTTCTCCCTTCCTCTCTCTAAAAAACCAATAAACATATCCTCAGATGAGGATTAAAAAATAAATAGTGTTTAGGTTTTGTGGGCCATACAGTCTCGTGTGAAGGCAATCAGCCATACCTCACACATAAACAAATAAGCATGGCTATTTAATAAAATTTTATTTATAAAAACTGGTGGTAGGCTGAGTTTAGCCAGCAGAATACATTTTGCTAACTCCTGCTCTAAATCATGCTTTTCCTGTCTTTTGAAGTTACAAAATCTTTAGAGTTTGTAAATGTGCAAATCCTGATCAGGCAGTGATGGTTTATTTTCAGCAAGATCAGTTTTATGTCAATGTTCAATTTCCTTCAATGACCCCCATCTCCCTAAAGGGCGGGGCAGGCAGCTAGGCAATGGCAACAGATGTTCACTGGAAGACCTTGCGCTGATTAAGATCATTTTAATAAGACAAGCAAAATATGCACCAGCTTGAAAACAATGATCCACATTAATGGAAGAGAGTTCTGAAATAAATAAATGTTTAGGATAAAAGATTTGAAATGTAGGCCATTATAATATGTCTCTCTCTTTTACATATTATCAATATCTTTATCACAACAGTCTTAATTCATACTTTGCAACAAATGGCACAAAACGGTGACAATGGAGGTGTATTTTATAACAAAGAAAATTAAATTAAAAAATAGAATCCGTATACAAATTTATTTAAAAATTCAACAACTTGTAAAGCTTAATTGTACTTGAGAAAAACTCTACATTATCCTAATTTCCTAAGTTTAGTCTCCTAACACAGATGAAAATCCTCAAATAAAATTAAAAATCTACATGAAATTTAAAAATGGTATATCCACTATCACTGACTTACAATTATAAATTCTAAAAAAAAGAACACATGGTGTTCTAATTCAGCTAAAACAGGAGGTCGACACAGGAGAAAAAATAATGCGGAAAAAAATCATGCCCAGTTACCCAGGTAAGTGTAACTCTGAGTCACTATCGTAACTCAAAATGGCGAAATAAAAGGCATGCACTCAGCGTCCTTGAGAATGTTAAACCATCCTTAAGTAGCGATCCCAGGTAATTTCTAGAACTAAAAAGAACTTACCCCTTCTTTTCTTCCTTTTCTCTCCATCTTCTCCCACCTCACCCTCTTCATCGTCATCCTCTTCTGACCCACTGATATCAGAGCCTGATATTTCTTCACCTTGAACAGAAATATTAATGCAATGATTTCTATTCAGTACCAGGTCATTGGCTATTTAGAAAGTGCCTCTATCAACTTCATGAAATTTTACTGCCCTAAACAAACCTTGTATCAAAATTCCTTGACAGTATATCCCATATGCTAACCTCAGAAATAGACATAATGTGCACAAAAGGAGTTGAATTCTTATCTATTTAAATTTCACATAATAAAGTACAGTACTAAGTATATATAAAAATTACATGTTTGAGTTATTTTAGTCTTTTAAAAGTATGATCACTTTTGGGGGGCATTTTCTCTTCAGTTTTTTGTTTAAGATATTAAATGATTCATTCAACCTGTATATATTTTTAAGAACCATAAAACTGTCATCTAACACAGTGATCCCACTTTTAGAATTACATCACAAGAAATATTTCAAAAGAGACATGTATTTGTACAAAGATTATGCTAACTTAAAAGAAAATAATATTAGGGTCAGTACTATATTGCCTTCAAAGTAGTTATTTCAAAACCCACTGTCCGTATATGAAATGTCAAAGGAAACAAAAGTAATTGGGGAAAAAAATATACACTAATCACAACAAGGTAATATTTGAAGCTATAAATAAAGAATGGAAAGAGATCACAGGGTCTTGGGATAAGGAATTCATTAAAAAGTACTTTTTTCTTTAGGTCTAGAAACAATGACACCTCAGTAGCAATAAGCACACCTAATGCTCTAATCTTGGTTTCTAAATACCATTCTCCAGTGAAAGGAACCAAGGAGAAACAGCTGATTTTAAGGCTGCGGGAGAGAAAATACAAAATGAACCCAAAACATCTGTAGTGCCAGAAAATAAGAAGTGCTAAACAAACAAAAAAACTTGTGGGAGCCTGCCGGAAGGATATAGGAACAACCCTGAAACAGCTTCGAATGGCCAATGCTGAAACAATTTGAGCAATAAAATAAATAATATTGTATTATAAACCACAAACATCCATGAGTCCATACTGACATATGTAACTAACTGAATAAATAAATAAGTGGGGGAGAAGGGACTGCTCTTCATACAAGAGAATTACAAACACTAAACATCAGAAGGAATGATGAAAAGAGCAAGTCACCAATTAATAAATGCCACAGAATTACTGTTTCAGGCAATAGCCTTTGATGGATGCTACAATTAGTGGGAGAGAAACAGAACCTTTGTATAGCCTCCAAGTAGCTCCACACAAGATACATGTTAATTACAAAGGAAAAAATAAATAGATTTATAGTAGAGAAACCTTACAGAATAATTATGAGAGAACTACAGACAAACCCAAACTGAGGAACATCCTCCAAACATATGACCAGTACTCTTCAAAAGCGTTCAGACTGCGGGAGACGAAAAAAGCCTAAAGAACTGGAGACTGAATGAGATGAAAAAGCCACGGCACCTCCGTGCACAAAGGGGCCCAGACTGGGCCTGGGGTGGGGAGAAGGGGCAGGGGACGCCCTCAGACGCTGAAGGAGGCCTTCACATCGGCAACTCCTGAAGTTCCATAGAAGTAGTTTACTGGGGCGGCCTAAAAAACTTTACATAAGATCTGTAGATTAGTTAATAAGTTTGTATTAATGTAGATTTCCTGGCTTCAATCATTGTACTATGATTATGCAAGAAGTTAACATTAAGGGAAGCTGGGTCATGAGCAATATAGAAACTCTTCTTAATACATTTGTAAGTTTTCTGTAAGTGTGAAAGTATTTCAAAATAAAGTTTAGAAAGTATTCTTTTAACATTTTTACCTACTTTTTATTATTTACATAATTAAATCTATTAACTCTGTCAACTGTGCCACAAAAACAAATGTCCTAAGAGCATAAATAAAATGAAATGTGTTAAAAATAAGGTCAGCATTGCCATATGATCCAGGAATTCCACTTCTGAGTACATGCTCAAAAAAGTTGAAAGCAGGGACTCAAACAGGCCTACAACAGCATCACTCATAACAGTCAAAAGGCAGGAGCGACCCACGTGCCCAGAGACGGATGAGTGGATAAACAAAATGCGGGCTATACATACAACAGAATATTATTCAGCCTTAAAAAGGAAGGGACGTCTAGCCCAGCCTGGATAAACACAACATGGATACGGATAAACCTTAATGATACAATATGGATAAACCTTAATGATATCACACAAAATGAAATAAGTGAGACACAAAAGGATAAATATTATATGATTTTACTTATATGAGGTACCTAGAATAGTCAACTACAGGGACAGAAAGTAAAAGAGTGGTTGCTGGGGGCCGCGGGAGGGAAGGGAACGGGAGTTGGTGCTGAAAGGGCACAGAGTTCCGTCCTGGGACGACGGCAGTTTTGGAGACGGAGGCCGAACAGCGTGAACGTACTTACTGCCACAGAGCTGTGCGCTTAAAAACAGTTACAGCGGTAAACTCCATGTTACATGTGTTTTATTGCAATAAAAAATGTAAAAAATTAAGCCAGCAAGATAAAGATATGAACTCAACATTAACAAATCTAAGAAATTTAAAATCTTTAAAACATACTGACTATAAATACCACCTAGTGGTCACATTTAAAATACCAAATTTCATTATCTTCAGAGGCAGGGCAATCACTACTGCTTTTCCTCAAGAGTCTTACTCGTTTACTGAATTAGCACCTTCTCCAAACACCTGTGGTGCTGGCATCTCTGGATGTCACATCTGGTCTCACCAGTATCCCCGCAGTTCCAAAGCCCTGCTCCGACCTGGTCTGCAAAGGAGCCTGTGCCAGGCTGCTCTCAGCCTGAAGGCAGTCGCCGTGTACTCAGTGATGGAGGGTAAGTTTCTCAACCTCATGAACAAGGTCTTCAAACTTTCTAACCTTCTAACATTATCTTGTTAGAAAAGCATTTCCAAAAGAGAGCCTCATGTTCAAATTTAAGTATGAAAGCATTATTTTCAAGGCCATGCAATAAACTTTTACTTAAACTTGGTTTACCCATGATTCTGTGATAGCTTTCTGTACTTCAAACACTAGTGATTATCTATCACAGAGAACATTGGTCACAGTCTCCTAAATAGATGGTAGAACTTGCTCTCATACAGAGACAACAAAAATTCATTATTTGATAATCGATCATATGAAATCTACAAAAGGCCATTGGAATTAATATGGGGGTTTAAACTAAGTTTTTTAATCATATACACAACCATATAATTTTACTTGAGCTTAATATGAAAATGCTATAAAGTATGTTATAAAGTTACCAGGCAGAAATATTCCCTTAAATATCAATGTTAGAGGTAAAAAGAACTTCTAATGGGTGGTTTTTATTAGAACACTTAGTGGTTAAGCAACATACTTTTAGGCAATAGTAAGATCAACACTTTGGGGAAAAGTTACCTTCTTCAAGCTTTTTTTTCAGTTCTTCTATTTCTTTCTGAAATTGACGCAGCAAAGCATCCTTTGGATCTTCATTAATTCTAGCTTTATTTTTAATATTCTTAGCACGATTAGCATACCGTAATGTGCTGATAGTTTCATCATAATTGTAATCTGCTGGCCCAATATTTGCACACTGTTGAATTAGGAATACAAAACATGTTTAACAACTGACACAGTTAAAATTAATACTGTCATTATGAAGACATCAAAGAGAATTTTTGAAGCACACTTCTACTTTAGTATTCTTAGCAAAGAAAGCATAACCAAGTGGGTTTCCAAACAACACCACATCGTGTACTAGAAAAAAGAATAACCACAAGTCAAATAAAGTAAAATAATCAAGTTTTTCAAATGTTATGCGTATCAATTATGGGATAAACAGGAAATGTTAAATTTGTCTGATGTAACTATAATATCATCAATTAAATCTTACCATCATGGTCTTTGAATTTCCTCCTAAGGAATCCTGAAGAAGACGGGTCAATTTAGAGTTACGATAAGGCACATGAGTGCTTTTTCCATCAACCAAGGCAGAGATCACGTTACCAAGGGTGGAAAGTGAAAGATTGATTTTTGTAGCTTCCTTGAGGCGCTGTCCAGTGGCTCCAGTTTTTGCTTGTCTTTCTGAACCCTGGCAATAAACAGAGGCAGAAATAAAGCTAAAATTAAAAATATAGAATATTGTTTCCAAAACTTAAAAACAAAGTAACAGTAACAAAAACTGATACAGTATCTGGAATTCACTTCAAAATAATATGAGAAGGGAAGTGAGGAATGGCAGATATGACACAGGTCTGGCCCCACACCGGTGACCGCTGAAGTCGGGGGATGGTTATGCAGAAAATCATCGTTCTATTCTACCTACTCTTGTAGAGGTTCTATTCCATACGTAAACCACGCCTTTTCACTTGAATTTTTATTCATTTATAAAATAAAAAGAGTATGAGAGGTATTCGTTAGGTAGTACCCCAGTACTTACAGCAAGATCTACCAGGTGGAGCTTCCCCATCCTGACGTGCATGTTGCCATCCACGCCTTTCTCGCTGCATTCAATAGTGATCGTAAAGATGGCATGGGAGCGCGAGCTGTGCTCATTCATGTTAGTCGCGCCAACAGAGCCTTGAATGAAGGACGGAAATTCTTAAGAAGTGTAGTTACAGGGAGTGTCTTTAAAAATTACTAACTATAACTATCTAGAATGGTTTAAAATACTTAATTTCATCAGAGCCAAAAAGCAGAGAGCATGGCTAAACCATAAAAGCATAGGTGTGTTTAGCCATTATTATAAGTTCCCGACAATTTCTGTTGATAACCAAAGAATTTGTAATGTTTCTCCTTTTTTAAAGAGGTAACTTTAGGACAAAATACTTAATTTTAATCCTAAGTATTATGGGCTACAAAAATAACTAATTTACATAAAAATACATGCTAAATAATTTTAAACATTATTACTGTTTCAGGTGTCTCTAAAAGCATTACGTTCTGAGAATCTAAACCACAGAAATACTTGTATCTACGCATTAGCCGGTGCCAGGGTATTCAGTGCAGCACTCTTCACAGCAGCAAGCAATCAGAAACAACTGACAGGACACGGTTACTCAGTTACAGGCCAGCCATACCACGGGTTTAAAAAAAAGAAGGCAGAGCTGTACGACACGGAAAGATACCCGAGACATGTGGCTGATAAAAAATGAGAGAAATGTAGAGTATAATCCCACTTCCATAAAACAAAAGCATCCATTCAAAATACACTAAATATTTGTGTGTATAAATATTTTACATGAATATATTGTGTAAAGGGTCTGTTTTGTTTTTTTTTATAGCATGCATATATTGGTTTTTCCCTTAAATTTCAAAGCACTTTAACAGCATCATGTTACTTTTATTCAATGCCAAAATTTTACCTCCTTACAATATCTTCATGTAGAACTTCTCCATGTAAGCTTTGATTTCAGAATTTAAACATTAAAATATAAACATTATTCATTATTAGCATATGGCTGTACTGGAAGACAGATAATTAGAATGTAAATTTCACTGATGCAGAAAAGTAAAGTCTAAATAAGTCAGGCAGAGAAAGACAAATGCCATATGATTTCACTTGTAAGCGGAATCTACAGAACAAAATAAATGAACAAACCAAGTACAAATAGACCCACGTTGCGGAGAAGACACTGATGGTAGCCAGAGGGGAGGCATTTGGGGGCTGGGTAAAAAAGGTGAAGGCATTGAGAAGTGTGAATTGGCAGTTACACAATAGTCACCGGGATGTAAAGCGCAGCATAGGAAATACAGGGACCAGCAGAAGTAAAGCAAGGCCTGCTTGAGTGTGGTTGGCAGGGTAATAATGTGGGTGTAATAATTTATAGTTTTAATTTGAACACTTCATCTAAAGTGTCATATGGTGTGCTTGAGTGTGATATTGTTATGTTACAGAGTTACATACCTATGACTTTAAAATAAAAAGGGGGTGTTACTTGTGCCGGGCCCTGTAGCATCAGTAATATTGCCATGTATGGCGCCAGTGGGTACTGGAAATGTGGGGGGAGGAAACTATTTAAAGTATATGACTGTCTAACCACTACGCTGCACACCTGAAACCAATATAAAATAATATTGAAAGTAAACTGTATTTTTTAAAAAAGGGATTTGTGACTTCATACTATATTTCCTACTTTCTTTTAAATCAAATTATGAATTTATAATTTTTCCCCAAAATATAAAAAAACTATTAAGCCTTGACTTTGTTATTCCCTTTCTGAGAGCTATTTGGGATGGTTTCCCATTTCAGGTCCTCATAAGGAACACTGAGGCGAACAGCGCTGAGCAGATACCTTTCTTTCTCTCTAGGATTATCCCCATGGAATGTGTTTTCCAAACGGGAATTACTAGGTCAAAAGGCAGAAACTGTTTTATAGCTATGGGCTATGAAATCATACTGAAGCAATGTTTTTCAATTAGGATGGAGAGAGAACATGTGATTTGAAACGATTATATTAATAGCTATTGTTTTTGCAATATAAGTAAAGCATGCTATTTATGACAGTAATTTTTCTGTATTTCTGGTTATGAAAACCAAGAAATGCAACAGACAAGCCGTGAAATGGAATCCCCATTGAATTTTACAACCCCTAGGAGAATACCGCTTGCAGCGATCAAGTAGACTCAGTGCTCCAATCCACTGACATGTTACACAGTGGAAGTAAAATAAAAAACACTCCCAGAGCTCTGATTTTTGTCAAACACTTATTTTGGAATAAAAATATTAAGTTTGTGTGTTTTTCAAGAGGGTATGGAAAAGTTCATTCTGTAAATATGCCTGCATGTGTATAAACTCACGTGTATGTACAACAAAAATATTTATTGCAGTATTGCTCATAATAGCAAGCCTGAAAACAACCCAAAAGTCCATCAATAAAAGATTGGGTAAATAAACTGCGCATACAGATCCATCCAGAGAAATACTACATCGTGCTTTTAAAATGCTTACATATATACTGGCATGTGTTAATGTGAAATGATCTCTAGGACAATATTGTTAAGTGAGTAAAGTATGCTATTAGCGGGCTCATAAAGAAAGAAGACAAGCACCCTGCCTGAAAACACATGTGCGTGGGCACACAGACTGCGTCAGAAAGGGCACACCAGCCACTAACACAAGCTGGTACCAGGTTACTGAGACAAAGGGTAGGGGACAGACTTGTTTTTCAGTGTATATTTTTGTGCCTTCTGAATTTTATACCATGTGAGGGATTACCTATTCAAAAAAAAATTATTTTTAAAGAAAAGAAACTTGGTTTAAAGGCTAGAAACACTGTCCTACAAAAATATTGATCCATTTACAAGGATGCGCACAAGGTAAATGAACTCGAATAGTTTAAGTTTGCACTTCAGTTGCTGGGCAGGCTGTTTGTGAGTTGACTGACTTATTTTCTTAAGTGTAAAATTAACTGTTTCTGTACTATGACACCTGTATAAACTGGGTACTAATTTTATACTTGTATTAATTTTTCACCTCTTTAGAATAGCAGCTTTTATTGTCCCATTTCTCCCCTCTGCTATTTACCTCTTGACAGTTATTTTACTATATTTCTATATGATAAAAGTTTATATTTACGTTGGAACTTTTATACTGGATATTTGTACTAAATGTTTAATTCTTGGATTCTATTTAAGAGTATTTTCCTCTCTGCTCTCTTAGGTTTTTCAACCTTTTTATATTTGTTTCATTTTATTTCTCTCATTAGAAGTTTTAATTTTCCTTGAACAAATCTCACATATCAAGTTAAATTAATTCTCAGGTAATTAATGGCAGGTTTTGGTCGCTACTATAAATGGAATCTTATGTTTAATGTTTAAATTAGATAAACAGTACATGAACATATTCCTGGTATAAAAATGTTTTTAATACATTAAAAAAAAGGAACAATGAAAGCTCCCAACATCCCTTCTCCCCAGTCTTGCTTCCGCTTCCCTAAAGACAACCACTACCGAGCGCCTCTGATTTTGCATTTCACGTGCACACATGCAGACACACACACACAGTGTCCACAAACAGAGTTTAGTAATTTGGCTTTTTTACACATATTAACAGGATAATGCAATAATACTATTCTGTAATTTGCTTTCTTTTCACTTAATATATCTTGAACTTCATTATAGTCCAGAGTATTTTTATACCATAATTTATAAACCCAATGTTTTGTTTCTAGTTATTTAAGTTGTTAAACTTTTTATTAAAAATAATGTTTAATAAAGCACGTTTTTATACTTGAAATATTTTTCTAGAGTACACATCTGCAATTAGAGACACTGGGCCAAAAGGAATGTATTTTTAAAATTTCAACAGATACCGCCAACCTGCTCCTCCAAAAGCTGCGCAGTAGTGACCCCATCACCAGTGCCCGCCTCTCCCGAGCCCCCCCAGCCTGGCCTCGCGTCCCCCGAGCCCCCGGGGAAGCGCTCCTGCTGCTGTTTCAATACGCATTCTACTGGCTGGTTGTGAGGTTGAACAACCTTTCATATGTGACTGCTATGTATAGTTCTGTGAATAACATATTCATACATATCTTTTGCTCATTTTCCTGTTACAATCTGGTCTTTTTTCTTTCTACTACTTGGTTTTTAAGAATACAATTGACTTTTAAAATTTTTTGTTTAACTTCCTTGAGCTTCCTTGATTTATAATGTAGTTTCAAAAACTGAAAAAAAAAATGTTTATTTCCTATGTTTTTATCTTTCACCTCAAATCTCTAATTGCTTTTAGCAACATCACCAGTACAAGGCCTGGGGCATTTGTGTATTAAATATTGCTGAAATTCTTATTCAGACAAAAACTGAAACAATTCCAAAAAAATGTCACTGTACTTAACTTTGTTTGGCTTTCCTTGTCAGTAGAAGGGAGGAAATACAGTGCCTGGTTATGCTGATTCATGGCCTAGGTTAAAATACTCACTCTGCCACTTATTAAGTAGTATATAACCCTGGACAAGTTATTTCAATTAAGTCTTGGTTTCCTCAATCATAAAATGGGACTATAATACCGTCAGGGTCTATTATGAAGATTAAAAGAGATCATTCTTATAAAGCACTTAGCACAACTAAGTGCTCAATAAATGTTAGCAAATATTATTATAGCTAACAACAAAGAGGTATATAAGAGTTTCAGAGATACAGCAGTAATACTAAGAAACAAAATTTTGGTCATCATAGAAAGCAATCTGATATCTTTCATCCATATGTGCTCACTACCTAGGAAAGAATCAAAGAGGAAGAGTTTTCAAGAAACTTAAAAATCCAGCCCTGACCAGTGTGGCTCAGGTAGCTGGGTGTCGTCCTGCAAAGCAGAAGGCCGCTGGTGTGAGTCCCAGTCAGGGCACACGCCTGGGCTGCGGCCTGGACCCTGGCCGGGGCACATGTGACAGGCAACCGATTGATGTTACTCTCCCTCTTTCTCCTTTCCCCTCTCTCTAAAAATAAGTAAAATCTTTAAAAAAAAAAAAAAAAGAAAAGAAAAGAAAAGAAAGAAAGAAATTAAGAAACTGAAAAATCCGGTCTCTGTGGGACAAAATGCCACACCAGTTTTGCTTCTAAATGAGCCTACACAAGACGAATGTTCGATCGCAACTATGTGGCATACTCACGGTTTTTGTGGCCTAGTGTCATAATTCTATCCATATCATCGGCATTATTTACCACATAAGCTGATAAATCTTTGATATAGACACCCACATCAGGCCTTTCTTTAACCTAAGGAAAAAAATTATAAGACTTGAAGCATATATATATCCATAATTCCTCCACAGCTATTCATTGAACATCTACTATATATAAGTGATATGTAAATGTGTTATTTATTGAACACAACTATTTCCTGAACATCTACTATGAGACACTGCTAGATATTGAGTACAAAGTGATGAACAAGGCAGGCAGTCTCTACACTTGTGGAAGTAAAAGCTACAGGGAGAATATACAAATGAATAATTAAAATCATTTTATTTCAATTGTGATAATGCCATGAATTAGAAAGACAGAAGACAATATGAGAAAACATTATAGAGAGACTTAAGCTAGTGAAGCAGGGATGTGATGTTTCCCCACGATGATGTTTAAGCTAAGACTTAAAGAAGCAGAAGGCAGCCAGTCTGGGTTGGGGTAGGAGGGAAAGACTAAATGCAAGAAGGATCTTGAAATAAGAAAAAACTAGACACGTAGAAAAAAAATAAACAAAGCCATGGTGGCTGAAAAGAGTAGAAAGCAGAATGGGGAAGGGGGTCGGGAGGTAGACTACCCGCCCAGAGAGGTAGACAGAGACAAAACGAAGCCATCGTTGGTCTTGACAGCAATCTGAAGCTGCCAGACAATTTCAAACAACTGAGTGAAACATTAGCTCTATAGCATCCATGCAAAAATACTTCCTTTCTGTGAGCAATCTTATTAGATATGTTAACAAATTTGAAGGATATATTTAGGAAAGATCTATATAAAATATGTATAAATAGTGTTAGAAATACAAAATTCACTTTGGAAGGCCCAGAAGGCACCCCCACAAGTCAACAAAAGAAGTGGAACTGAGGCAGAGGCCTGCGGCTGCCGGCGGGGGAGCCGTTCACAGACAGGAGGGCCCATAGACAAGAAGAGCTCAGAAAGCGATCCCAACGGCAAACACTGCAAGCGCACACGCTCCGAATGCCAGGTGTGGATTTTAGATCTAGTTGGGGTTTGGGGTTTGGTCTCTTTTATAATAATTTTTAACATATATTATACATTGGGAAAAAATTACCCCTTTTCTGTAAAGGGTTATAAATGAAACTCTAATTTTATTAGTAGTAAAGGAGTGGTTTTTATAAGCCAGCAGGTTTCAAACTGTGCTCTGAAAAGCCCTAGACCAGCAATTTTCAACCAGTGTGCAGCAAGAACTTTCAAAACACGCGATACCTGACCATGTAGTCGGGGGCACCGACCTTTTCCCTTAGACCGTCAAATAAAAAGATGACAACAGCCTACACAATAGCCGTGTGGTGTGAATGAATCAAAATTATGCCTATTCTTTGTCAGGCCGACAAAAAATATATTTTTAGTGTGCCGCAAAACATAAGTAAGTAACTTACGTGTGCCATGAGATGAAAAAGGCTGAACATCACTGACCTAGGGGGCGGCACTGAGGCCGCCGTGCGAGCCCGCGCGTCGTCGGGCCCACGCACGGCCCAAAGCAGGCCTCCGACCTTCATGCGCCTTCATGCGTTCCACACACTGTGTGTCCTCAGGAGGTCTGGGTCGGTGAAAGTGTTTAAATGCTTTAAACATTTTTAAAGGTTTGAAAATAACTAGTCTATTTCAATGTTTCTCAGAAAATGCATGGTAAAGCACAATTTGTGTCTGGCAAACTGACACTTGTGAAAAATACAAGAATCATGCACTTAGATGCCACAGCAACACCCAATTGCTACAGACGCTTTCAAACAGCCCTCTCACTTTCTGTGCTCATCACGCAGCAGACTGACAACACTCTTCAAACCGGCATCAGTCTGCAAAGTCTAGGCTTGTCTTCAAGCACAGAACGATCTTAATTCAAAATTCGACTAAGTGTAGACAAACTGATCAGATATGAAAGATGAAGAAACTGAATATGATTTTCAAATTTATAAAAGTTAAAAAAAGGGCAGTAATGTTAATCAAAGAATTTTTCTCATAAAAACACAGAAATTAAATTGCTATAACAAATACAATTTATAACACTAAAACAATGAATCTCAACGGGGGCAGTTACTGCCCAACTCTGAATGTTTTAGAAAGGTGGGGGGTAGTTTCCAGTTCACTTGAGGAGACTATTAGTATTCAGATAGGGACCGGGGATACCAAGCATCCGGCAGTGAGTGGGCTGGTCTCAATCAACGAAGAATTTGTCCCACGAAATTTTGAATGCACTACCAGTGAATGTCCTACAGGTGAATCAACTATATTTATCTGGGTCTAGACATAGACTCTATTTTACATATAAAGATGAAGTGCTTTTCCATGGTGGTGGTGGTAGTAGTAATAATAATAATAATATAGGAATGCAGAAATACTGAGAAAAGAATTAACTTTACTTTGCTCAGAACTCTACCAAGAGCTAGTCACTGTTTTAAGAGACCATGTCACTGACAGGAACACCAACCAAGGTGTTATCAGCTCGACATCCCTGTAACAGTCTGCACGTGCAGCTGCTGCAGTCGTGATGATTACATACGCCTCTGACTACTTCGTCATGTCAGAGTGTGGTCACCTCTAAGCATTCTATATACTGCAGTACTAACATTTTATTTTTTAAGTCATTTTATTCTCCTTTATATTACCGTTGGGCAGTATGTTGATTATTTTAAAAATTATGTGCCTAGGGATATTTTATCATCCATGATTTTATTTCAGGATAGTCAAAGAAGCACTACAAAATATTGTTATAAAAAGGAAGCACTGGCTCTGACCAGTGTGGCTCAGTTGGTTGGGTGTCGACCCACAAGGGAAAGGGTCGCCGGTTCTATTCCTGGTCAGAGCACATGCCTGGGTTGCGGGTTTGGACCCCAGCTTGGGGCACGAGAGGCAACTGATCAATGTTTCTCTCTCTCTCTTTCTCCCTCCCTTCTCCTCCCTCTAAAAATAAGTAAATAAAATGTTTACAAATGAGGGGAGGCACTGGGTCTAATACAGTTGAAAACCATTGATGAAACTGTTGCTGAATGGAACAGTTCCATTTCCATGGAAAGAACATTTCCATGTACAAAAATGGAAATGTTCTTTCCAAATGATTTTTATTCTAATAATTTGTGCAATAAAACAATAAACTTTTAAAACATAAGAGCACAGAATTAACAAAGTATCCATCAAAACTAAAGATGACAACTAGCACGTTTACTTAGTTTAGCACCCCAAAACTCCACATTTGCTATGTGTGCATTATCATTACAGAATAAGCCTTTATTAAGGTCCAACAAACACAAATAATCCTTACGCCTGTAATATATTGCTATATTGTTCCAAAAGCTAAGTTTATAGAGTAAACTTTTTAAAAAGCTAACATTTATTGAACATGATGTTTCAATCACTGACTTAAATACTTTGTATTACCTTGTTAATGTTGGCAATAATCCTATGAAGTAGATACTATTGTTTCCATTTTCATATGGCAAAATTAAGGCTAATCAAGGTATAGTAACTTGCTCAAAAGATCAAAGTCTGAACTCAAACTAAGGTGATAGGACCTCAGAAACCACCCTCTTAATGCTGGATGATACCACCATTCACCTGCTCCATGACCTTCAGCAAGTCAGGAAACTCCTCTAGGTTTCAGTTTTCACATCAGCAAAATTGACTGCTGGGAATAGTAAATGAAATACAGTATGTACTACTACCACACTGTACTGCACCGAATGCCTACAACCATATCATAAGAGCTCAGTAATAGTAGCTGCAGTTAGTCTACATACATTACTAATTATCTTACAATGCAATTCCACTCAAAATTCCAATATTAATATTTTAAAGGCTATTATTTTCCTTATGTTGGTCTCCTTTCCTAAAAGACTAAAATATTTTGCCATATTTACCACCTGACTCAGCAGTACTGCTTCACACATGCATCCTCGGATATGGCTGTGCATGTGTGACGCTTACTACAGAATTGCTTGTGACAGCAAAAGGACGGGAACAACCAAAGTGTTCACCAACAGAGGGCTGGCTAAGTAAATTTTCATTATGTCCATACAAAGGATATCATGCAGCTTTGAAAAAGGACAAAGAAAAAAAAATACGAGGAAGCCTTCTCTGTAATAATACTGAAAGATTGCCACAGTTCATTGCTCAGTGAAAAAAGCAAACTGCAATGGGGGGAATCATCCTTTCAATAGGCGGCGCTGAGACAACTGGACGTCTCCAGTCGCGAGAATAAAGGCAGTCCACCGCCTCACAGCATTTACAACAACTCGGAATGGATCAACAAACTAAATACAGGAGCTAAAACTACAGAACCCTTAGAAGACAACAGGCATAAACCTTCAAGATCTTGGATGAAGCAATGGTTTCTTAGATAGAACACCAAAAGCGGGAGCCACAAAACAAAACTAAATGAAGATAAATCAGAAATGATCAAAATTTCAAACTTTTGTGCTACAAGAGACCTCACCAAGAAAGTAAAAAGAAAACCCACAGATGAAGAAAAACTTTGCACATCATCTCTCTGATAAGGGACTTGTATCAACACTGTATGAAGAACTATTACAACTCAACATAAAAACAAATAACCCAATAAAAAATGGGCAAAGGATCTGAACAGACATTTCTCCACAGAAGGTACACAAATGACCAATAAGCATGTGAAAAGATGCTCAACATCATTAGCCATCAGGGAAATGGAAACCAAGCCCACAGTGAGATACCACTTCACACCAACTATAGTGGCTGTAATAAAAGACAGAGAACACAGTGTCCATGAGGATATGCAGCAACTGGAAACCTCATACATTGCTGATGGGAATGTAAATGGTACAGCCGTTGCAATAAACAGTCTGGCAGTTCTTCGAATGGTTAAAAATAGTGTTATCACATGATCAACAATTACACTGATATGTACACAACCAAGAAAACTGAGAATATGTTCACACAAAACACTGAACAAGAATGTTCATAACAGCGTTATTTGTAATAGACAAAAAGTAGAAACCACCCAAATGTTCAATGGATGAAGTAATCAATAAAATGTGGTATATCCATACAATGGATTACTGTTCAGCAACAAAGAGAAATGAAGTACTGATCCTGCTACAACATGGATGAACCATGAAAGATGATGCCAAGTGAAAGAAGCCAGTCACAAAGGACCGCATACTGCACTGCTCCTTTGCATGACACGTCCAAAACAGGCAAATCTATAGAGGCAGAGAGTAGATCAATCGCTGGCTATGACTAAGGAGAATGGGGGTGGGGTGACAGCTAGGGTTGTGGGGTTTCTTTTTGGGGTAATGACAATGCTCTAGAATCAGATAGTAGTGAGGGCTCTATAACATTGTGAATATACTAAGGGCCACTAAATTGTACACTTTAAAAAAGGGTGACTATTATGCTATGCAAATTATGTCTCAATTTAAAAAACAAAAAGCACTGGGTGGTGTGGCTCAATGGATCGTGCACCAGCCTGCAAGTGGAGAGGATGCTGGTTCGATTCCCAGTCAGGGCACATGCTGGGGTTGCTGGACAGGTCCCCAGTTGGAGGCATGCGAGAGGCAACAGATCGATGTATCTCTAACACATTGGTGTTTCTTCCCTCCCTCTCCCTTTCTCTACAAGTAAATACATAAAATCTTTAAAAAAAAAAAAAAAAGCACCAAAACCCACAATGAATGTGAATCAGCATCATTTGTCAGTTAACAGCATAATGTACCAATTAACAAATTTTGAGATTATCTGGTATTTATGCATATAATCTCACTTTCCCTTTTCTAAGGTGCATGATATAAGTAGTTTTTGGTGCCAATAAGTAGTTTTGGTTGTCAGAAGTGTACAAACTAGAATTTCTCAGTCAGAAAGCTTGGTTCTTTCTTCAGGTGAAGGAGTTGAAAGAGAGACTGAGAACACCAGTATCTGTGACTGCACTCCAGTCTTAATACCTATATTTGCACTACTTTAAAAATTTCTGATTTAAATTCTGGAGTACTCTTGGGAATTCATACCAGAGAATGAAAACTTATCCTTGCATAGAAATCTGTCTGAATATTCATAGTTGCTTTATTCATAATAGCCAAAACCTGTAAACCAACTAGATGCCCTTTAACAGGTGAATAGTTAAACAAATGGTGCACATACATACCATGCAATACTACTTAGCAATAAAAAGGAATGAACTAGAAATACATTCAACAACTTGCATGACTCTCCAGGGAGTTATACCAAGTGAAAAAAGCCAATCCCAAAAGGTTATATATATTGTATAATTATATTTATATAACATTGTTGAGATGAAAAAATTTTTGAATTGGAAAGCAGATACGGGGTTGTCCGGGGTTAGGGACGGGGACAGGAGAAGTGGGCGTGGTTTTGAAAGAGCAACATAAGGCGCCTTTGTGATGGACCGTGTTAGTGTCAATCTGTGGTAGTGAACATTCCCACCTACATGTGATGAAACAGTACAGAACACAAAACAGTACGAGAAAAACCGAGGGCACTTGGATGAGGCCTGGAGGTTGTATCCATGTTGACATCATGGTTGTAATAATGTACTATGTAAAAGTTTACCATTGGGGAAAATTGTATAAACAGTACATCTGCTTAAGTGGTAATCTCCCCATATTATTTCTTATAACTGCGTGTGATGTATATAGTATGTCACTTTTGGAGTGCAAATAAAATTGTTTGTATTTACATAAAAACAGTAAAAGAACACTGAAAACGATTATCTCTAAGGTGGGGAGAAATGGGGCAAACACGGCAGGAACAAGACTTTGGTGCATGAATTTTACAACATTTTTCTTTTTAAACCATGTGATCATATTATCTGATCAAAAAATAAGTGAAATATTAAAAGTACTTTTTGTACCAAAAGGATCTTAAGTTAGTAAACATTCTATTGCTTTGGAAAGTACTCCAATTGCAATTATCCTTACCTCTAACCTCTGTGTCTGATCCTTGCCCAAAAGGTCACGAACTTCTTCATTATATATTTCCAAGTAAGATACTCGAACCAAAAATCTACAAATAAAACATCATTTTAAAAACATGAAAGTGAAATTTTTATAATAGCAGTTTTAAAATGTGTTTATAAACTTGTACCATATGCCTTTCTTATGTTTGTACTTCTCAATATGAGAAAATAAAAGAATTTTTACCTTGTATCACCCTCTGCTTTTGCAATATGACCAAATATGTGAGCAAATGAATTTGGAATGATTCCTCTAAGTTCAGGAACAGCTCGAACACCCTCCATGGTAAAAGTTTTGCCTGTTCCAGTTTGTCCATATGCAAAAATAGTCCCTGAAACAAAGAGAATCAATGTTTTTTTAGAGTTTAATGCTACTAAAAATAGCTCTTAAAATAATCCCTTTGATACTGTGGTGCAATTTCTCCCCTAAATCCTTGTACAAATTTCACCTTTATTTTAAATAATTACAATATGTTCTCTGTGCCACATGAGCAAAGCACTACTAACATACTAGAGTCAAGGAGACCTTCCTAATTATTAATAAAAAGAATCCCAAACCCTACATGCAAAATCTTACACTGTGGGTCATTTTAAAACATTTCTTGTAATGTGTATATTAATTACTTAATGTGGATATTAAACGGTAGTGTAACTACAGCAAACGAGTACAGGCTCTAGAGCAGAAAGACCTCAGTGTGACTCCACACAGCTGCCACTTGTTATCCACCTTAGACAAGTTCTACCCAGAGACTGGCTCCTCAAAGGTAAAATGGGGGTAAAAACGTAGCTACCCTACATTAATAGTAAAAACTAAATAAAACACTTCACTTCAAGAGACCGACATGATGCCTGGTAGAATACAAGTAAATGGTAGTTATTTTCCTCATGATTCTAAAGTAACTGCATCCCAGAACAAAGCTCATTTATATTTATAGGAATAAAAGAATATCCAAGGCCCAAGGTAAAATTCATACTGTCTGGCATCCAACAAAAAATTGCTGAGCTTGCAAAAAACCAAAAAGGTATGACTCATAATGAAGACATCAATCAATCAAAAGCAACTCAGAACTGACAAAGGTGTTAGAATTAGCAGACGCGGACATTAAAATAGTTAAACAGTTATAAAAACTACATTCTACACGTTAAAAAGTTCAGTGGAAACTTTGGATCGAAGTTTGGAAGAACCCTGATGGAAGATATAATAAAGACCCAAATCCAACATCTAGAGATGAAGACTACAATGTGTGAGATGAAAAATACAATAGACAGGGTTAATGGCAGATCAGACACTGCAGAAGAAAAGATCACAAAGAAAACATAACACAAAAACAATCAAAAATGAAACAGAAAAAATTTTAAAAATCACTGAGCTGTGGGACTACTTCAAGTAGCCTAATATACACATCGATGTGGTCCTACAAAAAGCGGACATTGGGGACAGAAAAAAATATTTGAAGAAAAAATGCCTGAAATTTCTCCAACTTTGATGAAAACCACAAAACCCACAAATCCAAGAAGCTTAATAAACCTTAAGTATAGGAACATGAAGAAATACACACAAAGGTACATCATAATCAAATTGCTCAAAGCCAGTGATAAAGAAGAAAATGTTAAAAGCAGACACAGACAGACATGTTATATATAGAAGAACCAAGATAAGAATGAAAGCAGATTTCTGATCAGAAGAAATACAAATGAGAAGGCTACAGCACTATCGTTAAAGTGCTATAATAAAAGAAGAAACTACGAACCTAGGATCCTATACCCAGTGAAAATACTTTCAAAAACAAAGGCAAAATGAATGCCATCACCAGTGGACCCCACTCTAAGGAATGTTAAAGGAAGTTCTGCAAGGCAGAAGGAAAGTGATCTAGATGGAAACATGATCTACATAAAAAATAAAGAGCCCCAGAAATGGTGACTAATGGGTGCATAAGTATGTATGATGTTTTCTTACTATTTAAATCTCCTCAAAAGATAACTGATGGCTTCAACAAAAATAATAACAATGTGGTTTGGCGTTTACAACACACAGAAGTAAAATATACGACAACAATAGCATAAAGCTTGGGAGGAGAGAAATGGAAGTAGAGTGTAAAATTTTTATGTTACACATGAAGTTGTATATTACTTGAAGGTAAACTGTGAAATAGTAAAGATCTATAATATAAACCTTAAAGCAACCACTAAAATAAAACAAAGATATATTGTTACAAGCCAACAGGGAAGATAGAATGGAATAATAAAAATACTTGATTAATCCAAAATAAGGCATAAAAAGAGGAAAAGGAGAACAAAGGACAAAGAGAACAAATAAAAAACAGCAAGATGATAGATTTACACCTAACCATACACTCATATTAAATGTATCTATTAAAAAAAATGAGCCTGTAAATACCTTCCCTCAAAAACAAATAAATAAACAAACAAACAAAACTCCAGGCCCAGTTGACTTTACTGATGAACTCTTAGGAAAGATATAATACTAATTCTAGACATATTTTTCCAGAAAATTAAAAAGGAGGGAATATTTCCCAACTCCTTCTATAAAACTAGTACTACCCTGATAACAAAACCATATAAAGATGTTACAAGAAAACTATATACTTATGTCCCTCATGAACACAGATGCAAAAAATTTTTTAAAAATTTTAGAAATCAAATCTAACAACATACAAAAGGATAATATAACATGACTAAGTGGCATGTCTGGTTTCACATTTAAAAATCAATCAGTGCAATTGACCATATTAACAAACTTAAAAAAAAGAAAAAGAAAAAAAGATCATTTTCAATAGGAAATGCAGAAAAAATTGCTTTTAACAAAATGAATATTCCTGAAAGATGCTATCAGCAAACTAAGAACAGAGGGAAACACCCTCAATCTGGCAAAGGGTGTCCATGAAAAATCTGCAGATAGCATCATACTCGCTGGTAAAACAGTGAGTGTTTTCTCCCTAAGATCAGGAACAAGACACGAACGTCCACTCTCCCCACTTCTATGCAACGCTGCACTGGCGGTTCTAGCCAGTGCAGTTCAGGTAACAAAAAGAAATTAGGAAGCTACAGTGCAATCCCGGTAACCAAAGGATAGGAAAGAAAGAAATTAGTTGGACTGTCTTTATTTGCAGACAACATGCTCTTGCCTGTAGAAAATCCTAGGGAATTTACAAAATAATAATAATAATAATAATAATAATAATAATAATAATAATAATAAAAGCGTAACAGAAATAATAAGCAAGTCTAGCAAGGTTGCAGGGCACAACAGTTTTGTTGTTTTTTTTCCTAATGGACATCAACTGCAAAATACAATGATATCACGTCACACCCATTAGGATGGCTATAATCAAACAAATAATAAGTTTTTGCAAAGATGTGGAGAAATTGGAAGCCTCATACATTGCTGGTGGGAATATAAAATGGTACAGCCACTGTGGAAACGTAGAGCCATTAACCTTTTGACCCAGCGATTCCACTCCTAGGTACTCCTAAAAGAACTGAATTTAGGAGTGATTCCACTCCTAAAAGAACTGAAAACATATGTTCACATAAAAATTTGTACAAAAATGTTCATAGTAACATTATTCATAATGTTACTAAGTCAAAAAATGGAAGTAATTGTTTATCGACTAATGAATGAGTAAACAAATTATATTATAGTCATACAATGAAATATTATTTTGCCCTAAAAAAAGAATGAAGTACTGATATATGCTACAAGGATGAACACTGGAAACGCTATGCTAAGTAGCCAGACACAAAAGACTGCATGGCGCATGGTCCTATTTCCATGGAGTGCCCAGAACGGGCACACTCATGCACGCAGGAAGCAAGCAAGAGGTTGCCAGAGCAGAAGTGGGTGTTAACTACTAACATGGGTACAAAGACTCTTCGGGGAGGTGATGGAAATGCTCTGGACACAGGTAACGGGGATTGTCGCACAGCGCTGCGAATGTACTAAACACATGACTTGTACACTGCAAAATAGGTAAAACTGTGAATTTTATGTTATTTAAATTGTATCTCAATTTTAAAAAACTACTAAAATAATCAATTGCATTTCTATACATTCACAATGCACAATTCCGACAATGAAATTATAAAAACAATTCTATTCACAAAAGTATTCATAAAAAATACTTAAAAATAAACTTATGAAAACAAGTACAAGGTCTATATACTAAAAAATATAACAATACTGATGAGAGAAATTAAACAAGACATAATAAATGGACAGGTATATGTTTCTGGACAGGAAGACTCAACATTGTCAGAATTCAACAAAATCCCAAGTGTTTTTTATGGAAATTGACATGTTGATCCTGAAATTTGTATGAAAATACAAAGGACCTCAAAACAGCCAAAATAATTCTAAAAAAGAGTAACAAAGTTAGAGACCATATACTACCTAATTTCAAAACACACAATTTCAGAACAGGACACACATGGAATAGAACGGACCATCCAGAAATAAGCCCACACCTTTGTGGTCTATTAATTTTCAGCAAAGGCACCAATTCCAAAGAAAAGGATAGTTTTCTCAACAAATGCTGGAACAACTGGATATCCATAGGCAAGAAGGAAGAAAATAAGGAAGGAAAGAACAACTCTTACCTCATACCACATACAAAAAGGAACTCAAAGTGATTCACAGACCTTAATGTAAGGCCTACAACGTTTGCAACTGCTAGATAAAAATCACAGGGGAATCTCACTCACAGGGAAGGGCAGGCCAAGGTCCTTTCTCTGGCCTACACTAGCCGCATGAGCTGCTCGGCCTGTTTACCTCTGCGACCTAGTCTAACGCTCTTGGATTCATTGACCTGATGCTACTCCTCTGGCCTCTTCTCACTCCTAGAACACACCAGGCACATGTGTGTTTATGGGGCTTTGCGCCTGTGGTCTGGTCCTCTGCTTAGACTGTGCTGCTCTCAGCTATCCACACGGGGCGATCGCTCCCTTTCTTTAGAGCTGTGCTCTGATGGCACTTTCTTGGAGAGAACGTCCTTGTCCCCCAATCTAAAATTATGAACTCTTCCCAAAACTTCCTATCCTCCATCCCTCTTTATTTTTTCCTTTTGCACTTACTAGTTATCACACAATAACATTTATTTATCTTATTATCTACCCCATTAGAATCTAAGCTTCTTGATGACAGGGCTTTAATGTTGTGTCCCCAAGTACCATGAACAGTAAACAATATATTTTGAATAAATGGATGTTGTCAAACACTCACTGTAAGCTTTACATATTCAATAGGACTTCCACTCAAGCAGAAATTGTTTTTATGTAGCCTATAACCCACTTAAAATTGAAGAGTTTTGGTATTTTCTTTATTCCATGCTACATCTTCAACTATAAAAACAAATTGTAATTCTTTAGCAGGCCCCAAAAGGAGTAATTTAGAGATAACTTTATTAACACATTCTACATTCTCACTATTGCCTATCAAAAGTGATGAAGTGTTGTATAGCATAGGAAATACAGTCAATGCTATTTTAACAATTATGCACGGTCTCGCGCAGGTCCTGGAAACATCGGGGGGAGCACTTTGTAAAGCATATGATTATCTGACCACTATGCTGTGCACCTGAAACTAATACAAAATAACACTGAATGTAAACTGTAAATGAAAAATAAAATTTAAATTTAAAAACATAGGAGGAAATCTTTGTGGTCTTGGGTTTGGCAGAAGTTTCTTAGCTATGTCACCGAAGGCATGATGATAAAAGAAAAACGTGATCAACTGGACTTCAGCAAAATTCAACACTTTTTCTCTTCAAAAAACACCACTAAGAGAATGAAAACAGAAGCCACAGGCTGGAAGAAAATATTATAAAAACATTTGAATTTAGAATATACAAGGAGCAGGACTCAATAAGAAGAACAGCAACCAAATTTAAAAATCAGCAGTATTTTAAGAGACATTTTACCAAAGAAGATATATAAACGACTAACACGTAATAGTTACATGCAGCTTTTAGACCGTGTGAGAGTTCGACACCTGTAATCCCTGCATTGTTCATGGGTCAACTGCACTCAACACTGGTAGTCATCAGGGAAATAAGAGTTAAAACAATGAAATTCCACTATAGATCCTCCAGAATGGCTATAAGTAAAAAGACTGATAGGCTAAATGTTGGCAAGAATGTGAGGAAACTGGGAACTCCCACACCATGCTGGTGGCGGGGAAGGTATACAGTCACCGCTGTGGACAAGTTTGACAGTTTCTTCAAAAGATAAACAAACATTAGCTGTAGGACCCAGCAATTCCACTCCTAGGTCTCTACTCAAGAGAAACCTTAAAGTGTATCTGTACAAAGACTTAAAAAGAAGGTTCCTCACAGCATGATTTATAACAGCCAAAAAACGGAAACAATCCAGATTTCCATCAAGTATCATAAAAGGCGGTATGGTGATGCAATGGGACACAGCTCAGCAATAAAAAGGAACTACTGATAGATGTCACGACATGGATGACCCTCGAAAACATCATGCTAAGTGAAAGAAAACAGATAAGAAAAACGAGGTAGTGTGTGATTTGATTTACATGAAACTTTGAGGAAAGTCAAAACCATAAACAGAAAGCAGGTCCGTGTGGCTGCCTTGGGGTGGGACAGCAGACACCAAGGCGCGTTTGGGGGCGATAAACGGAACTGGGATCGACAGTTTCACAACTGTATGTATTCACTACAACTCCTCAAACTATGATTACAATAGGTGAATTTATGAGGTACTGCGAATACCTTGATAAAGTCCTTTTTTTTTTTAAAGTGAACTATATAAAGTACTCACCATTGTAGCCTTCAAGAACAGAATCAATAATAGGTCTTGCAGTTAAGTTATAAACATCAAGTTGTTTACTCTCTGGTCCAAAAACTGTATCAAAAGTAAACGTCTTTGGAGGTTCATTGGAAGAATCAGTCTTATGCACAGTGATGGTTCCCCTCATCTCGTCCACACTGACGGCCTGCTTGTAGCACATGGACTTCTCCCTCTCATTGAGGGGTCGGCACCTAACCACCACCTTCACATTATCACAGCTTTCTGGCTTCTCTGATTTATTAATCTGGAGGGGAAATATTTACAAATAATGAAAAGGACATTTACTTTTACCTTTAACAGATTAAATTTAAAACTCGAAAAAGGCTATTTTGCCATCTCAGTGCCTTGCACATGTAAGCACTCCATAAATATTTGTCGAATGCAATTTAAGATCTTACAGCTACATAGAAAAAGCTTATTAAAAGATATGAAAAAGGAAAGTTTCCTTTACAATACAAGTGAGGGGAGGGAAAGTCTAATTTACACTTACAATAAATGTTATTCAAGCAGAAATGAACCAGCATATTATTGACTCATTCTGCACAAAAGTCCCTGACCTCCTCTGAGTGTCCTACTTGCAGAAAAACACATGTGAACATAATTAACAACTTTAGTCAAGAATATGGCTCTGACTGGTGTTGCTCGGTGCGTTGGGCACCATCCCACAAACTGAAGGGTTGCCGATTGGATTCCAGGTCGTGGCTCATGGCACCAGGCACAACCGCAGCCGTGTTGAAGCAACCGATGGATGTTTCTTCTCTCACTCTCTTTCTCCCTCCCTTCCGCTCTCTAAAAATAAATAAAATCTTTTCTAAAGAATCCTTAAAGTGGTCTGCCAGATCTGGCTCTGACCCATGTCTGCTTCTCCTGTCTTGCTTCACACGTTATGCTGTGTGGCTTTCTTAGCCACGGCCACACTGGCTTTCTTTTAGGCCTTTTCTAGTCACCACAGGCCTTTTCAAGTGCTGTTGCTTCTGCCTGAAACATGTCTCACTCTCCTCTTCATTTATACTGCAGATTTCAGCCCAACAGTCACTGCATCTGGGCAGACTTCCCTGAGTAGGTCAAATCCGAGTACAGGCGTACCTCGGAGAGACGTAAGGTTCGGTTCCAGACCACAAAAGTAAATCGCATAATGTAACAAAGTGAGTATTGCGATTGAGGGAATCGTACTCTTTTTGCTGATGAAAGGTCTTGCCTTTAATTTGTACAACAAAAAACGAAACATCTGCAAGGCACAATAAAGCAAAGAATAACATGAGGTATGACCGTGCAGGCGCGGAGAATGCCGTTCCCGTGCCTTCTTCCACATCTGCTTATAGTTCCACTTCTGATTGCTCATCATTTCATTGTATGTCTTTCTCTCTGTCTACACCAGGGGTTGCAAACAGGTAGTCAAAGGGCTGGTTTCAGCCCACCAATGTCTTTTGTTCAGCTCATAGTATTTAAAAATCTTCTAAATTAGTTGCTAAAACTGAAAAATTTTACAAAGTAACAATTTCAGATTTTTTTTCTTTTAAAGATTTATTATTTTTATAGAGAGGGGAAAGGAGGGAGAAAGAAACGGAGAGAAACAGCAATTGGCCGCCCCTCTCATGCCCTCAACCCTGGACCCCATCGCAACCCAGGCCTGTGCCCAGGCTGGGAATCAGCCGGCGACCCCCGGTCCACAGGCCGGCACTCAGTCCACTGAGCCACACCAGCCAGGGCACAATTTCAGATTTTCTTGAAAACATGTTTGATCTGACATCTACAGGCCAGCATCCCTACATGGAAACACTTTACAATTCACCAGAATCTACCTCTATCTATTGTTTGCCACCGAGTAACTTCGTTAATATCAAGTGCCTCGTCTCTGTAAACACGCCTGGTTTTCACCCTCTACCCAAGAAGGCCAGGTTCCTTGTTCCCAAGGTTAAGAGCCAGGCTGGTTTTGCTCAATATTGCTCAAAATAGAGATTTTTCTCAATCTCTAATGCCTCACATGTGGTTGCTGCCCAATATTTGTCCAATTAATTGATAAACAACTTGAAAGCAACGACAGGGAATACTGAGCATTTAATGCTAGATGTCAAGCACGGTCCTTCGATTTTCCTGAGTAGTATCTTATTTCATCCTGATAACAACCCCAAGAAGAAAAGTTAAATTATGTGGGAACTAATGGCCCAGAAAGGTTAAATAATTGTCCAAGGCCTCGTAACAAGCAAATAACCGGCCTCAGCACAGGTGTTCTCCACGTCCCCTGTGCTGGACTACGGACGCCCCCTGACTAAGTGCTCGGTAACAACCTGTGAAATCCTGCAAGACAAACATACCAGCACCCACTCCCGACCTCCTCACACACAAAGACCCCTACGGGTTACATTCTTGCGCTGCTGGCTCAGGCGCCACACGAGCAATGACAGCTCGAGTCAGGGGGCCTGCAGTGGGGGAGGCAGCCCTCGTTTTGCTGCCTTCCGGAGATCCAACGGGGCGCGGAGCATCCAAAACCGACCCCCACGGCCGCTCCCAGGCGCCCTACCCAGCCGGCAGGGCTGCGAGCGAGAGCGCATCCTCCGGCACGGCGCCTTTTTGTCAGGCAGCGCAGGCCCTGCAGGATGCAGCAGCGACCAAGGCAGCGGGGCTTGCCCTGAGTCCCTCCCAGGGCCAGCCGGACCCCCGGGCGCCACGGGCCCACTCTCCAGGCTCCCCAACACACGGCCGCACGGTCGGGCCCTGCCCCGCCCCACCCTACCCCGGCCACCCTCCCGCTCCGCGCCTCCATGGTAACGGCCGCGCCCCCGGGCCAGGCCGCTGAGATGAGGAGGAACCGCACGGTCTGAGCCACTCTCCTCACCGGCATCGTGGCTCCGTCCCGTGCCCGGTGGGCGTCCCCGCCCGGGTGCAGTCCTGCGACGCCGGCCTCGCGGGAGAGGCTGGCCAAAGATTACCGAAACACAGCCTTGGCGCTTTCGAGACTGCGGCTCTTCTGAGCGAGAGTGCGCCGTGCGCAGGCGCACTCCGAGTTCGCCCCGCCCCATCCCCCCCGCTTCGGACTTCCCCAGCCTCTTGAATTACGCCTGCGCGGAGGCTTTCGGAGTCCGTCTCCTAGGACGCCAGAGTGAGGCCGCGCCTGCGCAATACTGCCATTCCTCTGCGCTAGAAACCGGGCGGGTATTGAGGCAGGGATACCTGGGTGTCGCCGGTTGAGAAAAGGAAGCTTTCCATCTTCTGGCGCTTGCAGTGCTCCAATATTAAAAAAAGAAAACAATAGCAATTGTACATTGTGTCCCATCTAGAGAGCTAAAGTCTCTCCATACATTACTGCGCTTGATTGCTGACTTATTTATGACCTCTCACCATTAGAAGGTGAAGTCGTGAGGACCTTTTGTTGTCTTTCTCACAAGTGTCTCCAAAACCTAGAATGGGACCTAGAATAGGACCTGGAACAGGGTAGGCTTTCAATAAATATTTGTGGAAGAACAAATGTTCCATCTATTGTCTTTCTTATTCGAACCTCGAACCTCTTTCCTGAATGCCCCTCCATTTGGGTGTGTAATGGGTATTTCAAGTTTTTATGTCTAAAACTAAAAGGCTGATTTCCATCCCTTCTTCAGTCCCCATTCCTACCCCCTCTACTCCCCTCACCAAAGGTCAAAAAACTTACCTCGTCACAATAAATGTAACCTGAATTCTGACAATTGCTTGGGTCAAAACCAGTCTCTTTCTCTCATACACAGGATTCAATCTTTCAACAGAGCTTGCCTCTGTCTTCAAAGTAGAACAAGAATCTGACAACTTTTCAGCACAACCACCGTTTCTCACCTATATTACTACAACGGCTCAGAAACCGCTTCCCTTGCATGCGTCCTTGTCCCCTCTTAGTCTGTTTCAACACAGAAGCCAGAGAGATAATGTTAGAACGTGAATTAAGTAGTGTCTTTTCTCTGTTCAAAACCTGTCAACGGTTTCCCATCTCAGAAGGTAAAAGTTACAAACCCTCTCCCCATGCCCTACAATCTTCCCCCTTGCCCAGTATTCTGCACCAGCCCCTCCCCCAGTCCCCTCGATTCATGACATTACAGGCATGCTTCTATCTTAGAATGCAAAGGCTTTTTGTGCTTGCAGGAGGAGCTAATAAAAATAAATACAAAGCCTTTTACTTAGCTCCAGTGTACAGTTCTAAGTGCTTTATCTTCTTTTAAACATTAAGACACATAATAACTTTTTAAAATAGGTACTATTGGTCATTTTAATAGAAAACAGGAATAACTATTTTACAGATGGAAAAACTGAGGCACCAGGCCATTAAGTAACTTGTCCAAGGTCATACATATGGACAGTGACAAAGCCCAGATACAAACGCAGGCCCTGGATAGCTCTCCCCCTAGATAGCTGCCTGACCCCCTCACCTCCTTCAGATTGTCTTTGATCACACATGACCTTCTCCGTGGGCCCTCCTACGATCTATTTAAAATTCCAACCTTCAACCCCAGTCTTAGCTCCCCTTCCTAGTTTTTTCTGTAGTACTTACAGCATCTGATATACGTCTGATATACATTTCATATATACATATACTCAGCTTCACTGAGATATGAACACAGACCATAGAATTTAAATTGCACAACTCCATGGTTTTTTGCTATATATAGAGTTGTGCAACCACAACCACAATTAGTTTGAGACATTTTCATCATCCAAAAAACTCTGCGCTCACAGCAGTCATTCCGCTTGCTCTGCCCCCCTCGCCAATGTCCCGGCCCCGGGCAAAAAACAAACACAAGAACAAAAACACTACTTTCTGCCTCTATAAATTTGCCTATTCTGGAAATTTTTAATAAAAAAATTATATAATATGTGGCCTTCTATGAATGGCTTCTATCACTTAGAATAATGTTTTCAGGCTTCATTTCTATTGTGAAATATATCATGTTTATCATTACTTTCATGGCTGAATAATATTCCATTGTATGGATATACCGTTGTGTGAATATATCACAATTTATCTCACTTAACTATTGGTGGACATTTGGGGTGTCTCCAGTTTGGGGCTCTTACAAATAGTGTTGCTCTGAACATCAGTAGGTGTCTTTTGGTGCACACATAGGCATTTCTGTTGAGCATATACTTAGGAGTGGAATTGTAGGGTTTCCATGTGTTTTTCTCATGTTAATTGTCTGTCTTTCCGGACTGAAATGTAAGTTCATCTTTCCGGACTGAAATGTAAGTTCATGTCACTGTTAGGTCCTAGCGCCTAAGACGTTGTAGGCCTTCAATAAATACCGCTGAATGGAAAAAGGTCTGCATGAATGAACGGTTTTGGGAGGGAGATAATGCCTTCTTTTCCTTCCTTCCTTCCTTCCTCCCTCCCTCCCTCCCTCCCTCCCTCCATCCCTCCCTCCCTCTCTCTCTCTTTCTCTCTCTTCCTTCCTTCCTTCCTTCCTTCCTTTCTTTCTTTCTTTCTTTCTTTCTTTCTTTCTTTCTTTCTTTCTTTCTTTCTTTCTTTCTTTCTTTCTTTCTTTCTTTCTTTCTTTCTTTCTTTCTTTCTTTCTTTCCTTTCTTTTTCAAGAGAGAAGGGGTAATCGAGACTCTGGGAGGCCGAGTCGCATGCACGAGGTCACACAGGGAGCCAGGGACCCCTCCCAAGCCTGACTGAGGAAGGAAGAAGGGGCCGTGGCTGGTGTCCTCCAGGGCCCGCGCCAGCACCCGTTAACCCCTCCGGGCTCGAGACTGAGCAAGGGGCGCGGGCTCCGGGCGGGGAAGAGGCGCGCACTGGGCGAGTGCTGGGTGGGGGCAGGGCCAGACGGGCCCCTCATCAACTTGCGCGCTCGGTCCCGCCGTGGCCCAGGTCTGCGCCCCTCACTGCAGAAGCAAGAGTCAAGGAGGAGCGGGCTTGCGCCAAGGGCAGCTCCTGGCGAAGCTAGGGTGGGCCCGCCGAGCCCGCCTGCCCCGTCCCGGGACGGCCCAGAGCCGAAGCCCGGGGGCCTCGGTTATAAAAAGCCCCGCCAAGGCGCACGCAGACCCGGGGACCGGCGCTCGCCGTGGCCTCGGGCGCGCGGTCCCCGCCGCAGCCGGAGGTCTCGGAGGAGGTAAGGTTGGCCCGGACGTTTGAACGAAATAGCCATCAGCCTCCTTCTCCCGCCGTCGCCACCCCAGCGCCGGCTGGTGCCGTGTGACTCGGCGGGAGTCCTGGACGAGTGCCGGCTGGTCGCGCATCTGAAACTAGCCCTGAGCCTTACGGCGCGTCTGCGGAGGACCGGCCGCCCCCCGCAGCGGTGTACCGGTCCCCGCAGCGGGGCGCTCCCGGGAGCACTTGCATCCGCAACCTCACGTGCGCACCGGACGCGGCCGGGTCCCACCTGCTCCCGCGCTCCGGCGAGCCTCCCCCTGCAGGCGCGGACCTTCCCCGGGTGCGTCCCCGCACGAGGCACGACGCCTGACTCGCTAGTCCTCTCACGGCGGGGTGGGGCTGGCGGGGTGCCTTTCGAGTAAGTGCTTGGAAAGGAGCCCTCCCTGTGTGGGTCTCGGGACGGAACACGGGCGCGGGAAGGGGGCGCATCGTGAGCCGCTGGGCATCCCGCCGCGATTTAGGGTGGAGGGGCTGCTCCCCCTAGGCAGGCGGCTTCTGCCACTGGAGGACCGACACCGGCCACCAGCCACCTTCCCTGCCATTCCTACGCCCCTTTTTCAGCAGGTGGAGTTCGGGGACACTTTCCAGGGAGTCGCGTTGCAGCTCCTGTGCCCGGAGAGCATCTTCACTTCCCCCAGGCCACTTTTAACCGGGCTCTATCTTCTGCCACCTCCTGGTTTCAGTGAAGGTAGGGAGCCCTCCGGGGGACGGTGGGGGGTGGGGGGAGGGGGAACTGGCCTCTGCTTCCCGTCGCTGCCTGGCAGGTGCGCCTCTCGGGCGCTCAGCTCTAGCCTCTCCACAGCCCACGCCTGTGCCCGTCGGCGGTCTCGTGTGGTCGTCAGGGGTGGACGTGGGGAGCTTGGGAGGATCTAGTTGGGAAAGGACTTCCCTCGTGGTAAGATGGGATGTGCTTGTCTGCACCTGTCGGGCGCCGCCCGAGCCAGGCTGGGCCTGCGTTCTCTGAGCAAGTGCCCTGTTCCCGGCCAGTCAATCCTCGACGGAGAGAAGGGGCTGCTGCCTAGTCATCCGCGGTTCCGCTATCAGGAGCGTTTCCACTGGTCAAATCTAAAACTGGTCCTGACTTATTTATGGAGGACAACAAGTCTTTTTTAAAAAAAAAAAAGGGGGGGGGAATTAGTTTCTTGAAGAAAAAAACACAAATGCTTTACGGTTTGTTTCTGGCACTCACATTCTACTCAATTGTTTGTTCCAGGCTGCAGATAAAAGAGAGGTTACTCCACATTGTCATAGTCTCCTTCTTGAGTCTTGCTGCAAAGGCTCAGGGAGAAGAGGGGGCAGCGCCCCGGGAAGCCCGCCCTGGGCTGCTTTGGGAGGTGGAAGGGTGTCACGTGGGTGCGCACGAGCTTCCTGTGCACCTGCGCATGGTGGGCATTTTGGAAAGTTATTACCTTGCCAGGCTCTCTGCTGTCCCTTCTTGAGGCTGGTCACCCACCAGTGGAGAAACAGAGCAGCTGGATTCTCCCAGCCCAGAAAACCCAGGGGCCTGGCCTCCTCACAAGTAGATCTTGCCTCCCTGGTTGATGTCAGATGTCCCTTCCCAGGAAGCACAGGCATCTGCTGCTGAGCTTGGAAAAAGGCCTCCCAAACCATGTGGCCTAGTGTCCACCCCTGGAAACAGCATCTAAGAAAGCTGCCTGAGACTCTGAGACTTGGCTGTGTCGATGAAACGTGTTCAGGGACCCGGGGACCCTTTTCAGAGAGGGGTAGGGGTAGAGGAGAAGCCTCCCCAAGTGCTCCAGGCTTGCTCGAACCTGCCTACATCTCACTGTGGCTTCTGTTCAGGAGAAGCCCCCCTCCCAGGACCCTCCCCAAACCACCTTCTCTCCTTCCCCTTCTCCCCCTGCCTTCAGGGGTAG